TAGTAGTAGTAGTAGTAGTTTATTCCATTTCTATATTGCCCCATAGCTGAAATTCTCTAGGTGGTTTACAACATTCTATAAAAACAAATGGTTAAAATACAATGCAATACCATAAAATCAAAAAAGCATTACAAAATCTAGTACAGTTAAAATATGCAGTAAATAATGGGTAACCCCCTTGAGTCCCTGGGTAGCAAGTATTTTTTAGAAGTCTTGGCACAAAGCCTGGCAGTGAAAAGATGACAAGGTTGGCACCAGGTGGGCCGCACTGGGGAAGCTGTTCCAAAGATGGGGATGTGGGGACACAACAGAGAAACAACCTGTTGTTGCCACCCTCTAAGATATCCTTGGTGTCAGTATGTCTTAGGCTCCAGATAACCCTGGAATGCTCCTCTAGGCAGCAAATGAAAGACTGAATAGAGGCAAAGAGACAGTGTTTCTTTGCCACTCTAACTACCTCTTAAAATTCCCAACTGTATCCACACACCAGGTTTCAACTGCATCCACTGGGTGTATTGGCTGCATCCACTGGGTGTCTTCTTCCATTTGCACTCAGGCAGTCTCCTATGTTGTTTCAGTGTTCTCTGCTGCAGGGAGGAAACTTAGGCGCAATCATGTCATCTGCCTCATGTGCCCCTTTGGTGTCCCTCCCTTTGTGGATGCCTCTGCCAGGGCAGCCCGCCAGTGGCACCACCCAGCAGCAGGCCTGCTTATATGCCCCAGGAGGCTGTTGGATTGCCAGGTCAGGTGGCTCCACTCTGCACTGATGTGCTCAGAGGAGACAGTGAAGATTCCCAGGAAGGCAGCAGCAGGGGATGGGGGAGACAACCTTTAGCAGGCCTTACAGGCTAGGTCTGCTTCCCCACCCAACGCCTCTTCACCAATCCCAGGGGCCAAAGTGTCTAGGCTAGAATCTACCTAATAAACATTATGGCACTTTCCTACCAATACTACATGGATTCAGTAGCATTATGTAACTCAGTTGTGAAGGAAATGAATTCTGCATGTATTCAAAACCACCGTCTTCTATATTATTACATCATGTAAGTTAGGACCAAGGCTGGCATTCGGACACAATTCCAGAGAAAATCCGTGGCTCAAATTAACTGCTTGGTTCAACATGCTCCATGACGTGGTTGGTATCTGAGCACTAGGAACTTGAATTTAAAATAGACCAATATTGCTGGAGCAAAGGAAAGGGAATCAATTGCAAGTGTCACTCACTGGCTGATTAGAGGACATTCAGGGACAGTTTCTAACTCAAGAAGGGACTGGTTTGTGCCACAGGACTCATGGCTTTCATGAGGTTTCTGCCTCCAATTCCCTTTAGCCCCAGCCAGCATACCTAAAGGTTGCAGAATGATGGGCAATCTAGGCCAAAATATCTGGAGAACCACAAGTTGTCCTGCCCTGTATTAAAGGGTCTGATTAAATACATGGCAAAGTTCAGTCCATTTGGTACTTTTCTGATCTCCAAAACAGAGCAGTCATCATATAGTTAACTCACTCATAAATGGAGCTGACTCAGCCCTGGGTACTGTTTCTTACAACAACTGTAGCAACTATATTGTAAGACTTTGTGCTGAATGCCTTTGCTGAAGGCAGATCCATTTAAAAGAAAAAAAATGTCATCCAAATGAATCACAATTGTTTTTGACTTACTATTTGATGGAAAATTAGAAAAAGAACAAAGAACACGATTCTGATGCAGGCTGTTTTGTTTATTGAGGAATGGCTGAATCCTGCTTATGGCAGAAGCAACAGAGCATTTGTTCTGAAATAATTTTATTAGAACGGAGATGGCATATACTCTGCTAAACAGGAACATATACTTTAATATTTCAAATTCAGATATATGTTCAGATATATGTTAAGGTCTACATACCTGGAATTTTTACTTGCGCTACTTCTCCATCTCCCCCTTCGCTGTGTGCTCGAACTTCAACAACATACTGACCCTTAACAGGGGCAGGAACTTCTATATAATGTTTACCAGTCTTAAACAGGGTGCCATTAAACTGGCCATCTGGTCTATAGAGCACCTTTTAGAGACAAGATATAAGATGGTACAAGATTATAATTCAGATATGCAATGTAGCATAATTCCACCATATAATTCAAGTATCACACTGTGGTGGATCCAGACCTGGGCATGTGCAGCCAGGCTGACAGGAGTCAACTACCTCGTTCCTTTTCTCCCAAGCCTTCAATGTGTCTGCCCAAAGATGCTACAGGTTAGGGGACCTTGCTGAGTAGGCTAGGATATGGTGCAGAAAGAGAGACCCACCTCCCAGATTGGTGGAGGTACCTTCCATAAGTAGAGACATGTACAAAGCCAGTTCCTTCCAACCCATTTCATTCTAAAAAAAATCTTTATTGAAACAACTAAAGAATGAAGTTAAACAAATCAACAAAACCATGATTAAGTGCTTTGTTCTAAAGAGAATGCTATGGTAATTCAAATAGATTTCCAGTTTCAACCAACTGTGTCTTGAAGTCTAACCATGTCTATCTCTAGGTGGCTAAAGCCTGAATTTTTCAGATTACTTGATGCTAAATGAGGTTGGTTTTACTTTTTTCTAGTTATATTATTTTCAAAAACTAAAATTCCTCCCTCTTCCCCCCAGCTGCTAATTGACACATACCAAGCACAGCTAGTCCAACAACTCCAACATTCATATTATGAAGACCAGGAGAAATAATTATGAATGTTATTGTAAGCCAGCATGATTTTTCTCTCCATGGGAATTTTAAAAATAAATCCAATAATAAATGGTTGAATTCATTTTCTATAACTCAGCAAGAGTAGTTTGGCAAATGACCCTCAGCATAAAGGAAAAGCGGCATTTAAGCTTTCCCTTATTTAAAGTGGTGTATGCTGGAAGCTCTAATCTAACACATCAGGCAGACATTTTGTTAGAACTGCCCTAGCAGGACACCAGTCCTTTGCTTTCTTCTCATTGTCACTGCTTTTGTCATTGCTTAATGAATAGAAACTATTTTCAGAACTTAGCAAGTTCTCCACTCCTGACCTGCATATCCACTGATTCATAAGCACTGCAATGCTAAGAAGGGACCAAAGCCTATTCTCTTACTCCTGCCAACTCCACAGATCATCCCTCTTTTTGTGCTCCATGGACCAAAGCTGCTAATGTTCACTTTCTCCTGGCAAAGGGAGAAAAAGTGTCCTAAAGAGCTCCAGCCATCATCAAGTGCTCTGACCTCCAGAAGAACAAAGTTTTCAGTCTCTTCTCTTAGCCACTGAAAAGAAGTCAGCAAAGATTCCACTCATGCTTTAGTAGTGAGTGTATGAATCAGCTCCCAGCATAACAGATAACAGTTCTGATGAGCTTGAATGAGAGGAGGGAGAACTATGGGTTGGGGATGTATACCTCTGTGCCACACAATTGTTTTGTTATCCTGCTCTGCTCAGATAAAAAAGTGTAGAATTTAACTGATAGTATCAGTAGCAGTGAATCTCAAAGGCAGTTTCACAGGGTTAATTAAAGAATTCATGACTGATAGTAGCTGTATACACTCTGGGTGGTTCTTCCTCACAAGAGGTCCATTCGCAACCTGCTTTTAAGTGATTCATTACTTGATTCACTAATGGAAATGCCACAAGGCATTGTATTAACCAAATTACAAAATAATGCCAATGAATTTTAGTATAGATCTTACTTTATATCCTTTGACAGTGGATTCATTGGACTGTGACCTGACATGGTCCCATGTGATGATGTACTTTGAGCCGGACCTTACAGAACTGATAATTCTTGGCCGCTGCCTTGGAGCTGAAAAAGATCATATACCCTTCAATCCAACTGGAACAGTCAGGTCCTTATTACTGTGCAGCTCTGGCACACGCCACGCTCTGCCCCTTCCTGCCTCTTCCCAAGCCTACCCCCCACCCCTTATCTCCCTTGCACATAAACACAGTTCTTTTTAAAGTTATTTATTGTCCTTTCTTCTTTTTTTGGAAGTGTTAATGTCTCTTTTATTATTTCATAACATAAATCAATGTATTCAGTCTTGATATCAATTAAAGAAAGTGATATATATTTGATATTTGTTTGTGGGGAGGGAAAAACAAATTATTAGAAGGGTATATTTCCTTCTTTAAAGAACTCTTAAAGAATTATTCAATTATGTCCACATAATAAATAAGAGTATATGATAAAACTAATAATTTATGGAGCACAGATAAGTCCTACTTTGCGCAGACCCACTCAAATGAACTACAGTAGATCAACATTGGATATAATGAACCAGGCCATCAGCAAATAAACTATTTTACTTACGTGCTTTTTCTGTAATGAAAACCAAACGAGAACTGGGAGGTCCAATGCCTGCTGTGTTGAAAGCTGCCACATCTACATAGTATTGTGTGTCAGGCTTCAGGTTTTCCAGCCTTACAGAAAATTTATCACTACCTACTTGTACTCTGTTTGCAGTTAGTTCTGCTTCATGAGTACGCCAGTAACGGATCTGTAAACACAAAGAAATGTAGCTATGCAGGGCAAGACGAAACAGATTTCAAATAATGGCGCATTACTTAATCATGCACTGGGTTTCAAATAATGATGCACAGGTGGCACTATTTGTTGGGTATATGTTAATAAATGACAGTGCAATTTTTTTACACTCACCTCATACCCAGTAACAGCTGGATTTAAAATATGCTGCCAAGAAACAGAGGCTTCTGTGGATGATCGGACTTTGACATTCACAGTTTTAGGTCTTTCAGTAGGAGCTGGAAGAATGAATATGAGTAATATAAGTCACTTTGAATATTCTGACTGAGGCATGATACAAGTAATTCATTAATGTGCAATTATTTAATTTGTTTTTACATTTGTAGCACAAGATGCTTACTGATTTAAAAAGATTATGGGTGGAATTGCCATTAATACAGTTCTTTTCACAAGCTGCAATGTATTAAGAATTGTTACTAAAACTGAATTCAGGAGCTGTAATTAAAAACAGTATCTCCTTAGAGATTTGTGAATTTGCTGTACTTTAGCATGGTATCTCCTAAAAGTTCTTATGGAGTACTGATCTAGGATTATTAACGTAGCTGAAATGTCCTGGTCATGTGTGCATTGCTACTAGATACACACCAGGGATACGGAACATAAATGAACAACAGGGCTCCAACAAAAGGATCAATACAGCCTTTATACCAAGCGGGCAGAACCTCAGGCTTGGAGACCAAATCTGGCGCTCCTCAAAGGCCACAGGCTTCCTCTGGCTACACCTCTCTCTAGAACCTCTGAATTGGTAGTTACCTGGCTTTTGAACTGTTTGTTTTTCTGCTCTAAAATGTTGAAATGACACTTCTATGGCTTAATTGAAATTGAAGGCAGAGGAAAAGGAAGAGCAAATATGAACTGGATTGATTCCATAAAGGAAGTTGCAACCTTGAGTGTACAACAGCTGAGTAGGGCTCTCAAGGTCAGGACGTTTTGGAGGGCCTTCATTCAGAGCTGCCAGAAGGTGGAGGCAACTTGGTAGCAAGTTGCAACGTGAACAGGAGCAGCAATGAAGGCTTAGTTTCTGGCAGGAAAATGTTTAAGCTAAAGCATGCTGATTTTTGTTCTCCATTTCTTTTGCCTTCAATCCTGCCTCACCATCTAGGGGTTTTCTGAAATGCTGTTCATCCTTGGGCTGGAAGAGTTCTCCACCCTTGATTACACGAACGGCTTCATAGGTTATGTTGGTTCTGTCACTTTTTAGTTATAATTTTCTTCATTACAGCGATTCAACAGGAGTGATTAAAGATTTAAGTGATTTAACAGGAATGATTTAAGGTGACGGAGTTGGAGCTAACTTCATATAAATGGTGCTCCCCACCCACCCAAACCTCCTGCATCCCTTTAAACACATCCTTTCTCAGGAGGGTCCACCAACCATCTGGACCAGAGAGATAAGTCAGGACTGCAGATACTGGACAGAAAATTTGTTCCACCAGTGGCTTCTTTTTTGTTGCTGATGCAATGACTCCATTGTGTCCAATTCATGAAATTTTACAAAGCAGAGAAGTATATAAAAGGCTTGCAGGATACATAAACCTGCAATGTAACTTTTACAGAAGTTTTTCATTAATACAGTTTTAAAAATCCAAGGTGCCATGGGGCTTTTGGTGTAAAGCAACAACAAAAGACAGGCTCCTGTGCAATATATATTAATTAAATATCAATTCAGTGTTAAATACATACTTTCTTTTTTAGCACATGAGTGTATACATCTGAACATCCAAGCTATGATTCTTGTTGGATATGCCTGTCCACAAACATAGAAAGTGTTCTCTGTTGTAATGCTGTGCATACAGAATAGATAGTTTTGCAAGTATGGCTCTAGCTGCTCAATGCTTCACTACAAATGTAATAAATAAAGGTATTTATTTTAGATTTATGTAAGATGCCTTGTGCTTTACTTAAGCTTAAGTAAAAGTTAAGTTTGTGAGCATAAGGTACCTAAGGCAGTCCAGTTCCTAGAAAATATTCTATTTGTCAGGCAAAGATCAATGCTTTTCTGAAAATGTTTAGTAACAAGTTACAACAGACAAGCTCAGGAAACCTTTTGTATACTTAATCTTCTAACTGGGCATGCACTCAACTATGTATCAAAACCATCAGTGTTCAAGACTAAACAGTTATATCTTTGAAGAACAGTATCAAAGAGAACCAAATCATCCTGTATGGAACACTGTTTTTTTAATAGCTTTCAGTAACTGCCAACACTTCAAATTTATAAATGCAATTTATCTACAAATGGCAAGGTATGTCCTTATTACAAAATTAAAGAAAATGAGTTTTCATTTAGCAATTATAATTAGCACATGGTGGCCTGATTGAAGCTTTTAGGGCAGATTAGTTTTGCTTTGGTAGCCCTTTCACACAAGAAATAATAATATTTTGGGCTCAGGTTCACCTCAGCTACCACAAATTTCTATGTATGATATGAATCAGCATATAAGACAACTTGTGTATAATATTTTGGGCTGTTTTTCATATTTGTCATATGTTAGGTGAGTAGGACAACCCTTGAGCAATAACTCCCATATATTCCAGAACTGTCAACTGGCTTCAATAGATATTTGTAAGCTGGAAGCTTCTAGACTCTCGTGACAGGATGTGTGAAACAAACAACCAGGAAGTATGCTTCAGAAAAATACTAGTTTACTAGTATGGGATATGTTTCATAGTCACACAATGGATGCTACAAAAACTGCATTGGCAGAAAATAACCTACAAAATGAAGCTGAAAATGTAATCAATGATCTCAGTTCGAAAGACTAAGTAAATTATCCTGTACTTTGGTATCCTGTACTTTGGTCACTTTGGTATCAATATATACCAGTAAGATTTTTTTGTGATTATTAATAAAATGAGCTTGTAAATACAATTGTCTTTATTATCTATCTGGATTTTTAAAATTAATGACTATAATATGACCAAAAAAAAATATATATCACCCTGTGTATAAGACAAACCCCAATTTTTGCTTTGCTATTTTTGGTTTCAAGAGTCATCTTATACACCAATATATATGGTATATTCACAGGATATAATGATAAAAATCTGTTTAAAAATAAAAAGATACCTAGTACTATAAGCTGCAGTTGTGGATAGCATTGCTCTAACCTTTCCAATGATGTTTTTGCACAATTCACTTCATTTCTAGGGCAGTGGTAGATCCTTTCTCGGATGTTAATAATGCAACACTGTTGAGTTAAAAACTGTAAACTTCTATTACAAATAGAATTGCTTGAGCCTGAGGTCCTTTCATGCTGCAGCTTCTTTTCATGCTACCATGAAAAATCATACAGTAATGTAATCATACACTTGGAAGAGGCCTAGCAGGCAATCAGGTCCAACCTCCTGCTCAGTGCAGGACTCAAGTCACCCACCCAGATTTCAACCCTGCTTAGCTTCCAAGATTAGGCAGAATCAGGCACTTTAGGCATCCCCAGTCACAGGGATTATTCCTACAAGATTGTCACCACAGGAGTATTTTGTGCTTCAGAGCTCTGAAAAGTCTGTCCCTTGCATTTGTGGATGTCTTGTCATGCTCAGCAAAGCAAACCTTGGAAAGCAATCCACGAGGAAATCCATGAAGACTGGAAGAATGTGGCTTGCACAAATGTCAACCTCCTTCGTCATGTTCAGCTGCACCAACAAAAGCTGCTGAGTGTGGCGTGGAAGAAGGATGGTGTTTGCTCAGCATTAGCACAGGGCTAAATTCCTGGTGTGTGCTATGTGGACTCTGGGTGTGCTCACCAGGAACTCGGACTCACGGATGTGTCAAAGTGGACCATGGTCCAGGGAGCTGAACCCAGGGAATCCAATGAATTCCCCTCCTCAAACTGTTTCATCACACATTCCTGATTGACAGCATACTTCAGATCATGCAGTGTTGGCACATACCAAATAGTTAAACTATGGAATTCACTACCATAAGATCTAGTAATGGCCATCACTTTATAGACAGCTTTCAAGTGACATTAAACATATTCCTTCAGGATAAAGATATAAATGGCTATTAGCCATGACATTTCTACCAACTGCCACACATGTGAATTATTATCCATTGTCTGACAGGTTTGTCAAAGTGACAGGAAGAACTCCTGTTAAGATCTCCATTCTTAAGGCTCAGTGCGAACTATGGCACCTCCCAGAGAGTCATAGGCCATTTTTCTGTTTAAGGCTAAATAGTTTTGCTCCTGAATTCAGTCTGAATCAATGCCAGCAGTAGATGTGTTAAGGTGACTAGTCTGCTTGAACTTGCAATGTTTTATGAATGGACATTGAGCCAGGATCTTATGATTGCTCCTGGGTGACTTGTTACATTGCTCACACAAGTAGACCACTTACATGTGCAGTCTTTTACTAGAAGGTGGCAGTCAGTCTATTAGAAAATACTCTTGACTTCTACTTACCATCTTGTGCTGAATAGATGATGGCAGTGAGGCTAAATGGTCCTTCTCCTTTGTTATTGAATGCACGTACTTTTACTTGGTACCTTGATGAAGGGGGCATTGATTCATCCTTATGAACATAGCGACCAGCTTCAGGTTGAGGAACCGTAACTCGCTTCCAATTGTTGTCATCGTAGGACTTGAAAGCCACTACATATCCAAAATTATTTCCAAAGTGGTACTCTCTTGACAAAGGCTACAAGACAAAAGATATGAAAACTATGTTTTGGTTTTATGCAAGTGGACATGAGTAATAAAACTTTGATGTGCGTCCCCCATTCCCTAGCAGGAATGGGACTCGAGGCAGCCCAGGACAAGAGGCTTGTAAGTCAGAGTTTATGGGAAGCTGGAAAGTATCAGGAGGGAAAAAAGGGACATATTTTTCTTTCTTACTCTGTAGGAACGTTTCATAGCATATGAGAAAGAGATGGGAGTTTTTAACATCAAGGTCAACCAATGAAATAACCTTCATAAAACTCTTTCAACAATACCTTCTTCTGCTTGCTTCACATGTTGCGGTGTGGTGTAATGGCTAAGAGTGCTGCACTGGAACAGAAGAATTCAACCAGGAAGCTGACTGGGTGACTTTGGGACAGTCACAGACTCTTAACCTAAACTACTGCACAGGGTTGTATTGTGAGAATAAAATGGAGAGGAAGAATAGGAGGAACATGTGGGCTGACTTGGTTCCTTGTAAAAGGAAGAATGACAGGGTAAAAATGTAATGAAATGATAATGCTGCCTGCTTAAGATGCAATCTGTGCATGGAAACCGATTTTGCATAGAAAGAGATCTTTATGTGTACATAGCTGCAAAAGCACATGCAAGGTACTGCAGTATGTGGGCAGGAACACCTTGTACCAGGAATTTAGCTTGCATAAATGGTTCTGCCATTCATTTGGAGAGATTGCTACACTAAGTACTGAAAATGTCTTCTATACTTTTCATGTAACAATGCAAATACCTATGTTTGGAATTACCATTGGAATTACCATTAAAGAACACAAATGACTGGACTGGACTGTGGGGTTGTGACTTGAAAGACAACAAAAATGCAGGATGCATTAAAAGGTTAAAAAAAATCCTAAAAGCATTTGTACAGCTGAGCTCTAGGTGAGGAACTGAGAACAATGTGGTGATTTGTTATTTGCAGATCATAATCCCAAGGCTACTTTCCTTCCTCCCCAGCTAAATGGAAAGAATAGCACTGAGGGTGCAATCCAGATAGGATGCTCAGAACCCTCTAAACTGGGAGGTTTGCAGTCATCTTGTGCAGGACAAAGGTCTCTTTTGTGCTCTTCATGCTCTGAAAAGCACTTAGCCTATTTCAGGTAAATGTGGTGCCCCAGGACAGGCAGACAGGAGATCGTGGCATAGCTAGGATGCATTGTATCCTGGCAGTGGCTGTCTCCCTCCTTCCTTACCACATTCACCAGCCCCCAGACCTGGCAATCTCAGAGATGAAGCAGGGGCAGCTCCTGCCAGGGCAGCTGTGATGAGGAGGAAGGGAATCAGAGTTGTGATCCTCAGCTACGAGCTCAGAGAAATTTTCCAACCTTGCAGCTGAGGCTCTGAGCAAGCCTCTGGCCACCTAGATGCTTTCCAGTAGCCATTAGGATTGCTCTGTAAGTGAGGCTGCATGACATAAAATGCAAACAGAATATTAGCAATTGCAGCCAGGAATATTAGCCTTAAATATATCAATATGCTAGTCAGTTAGGGTCACTTTTACAAAAAAAAAAAGTTTTCTGGCATTTCTACAACTCTGCTTTGTCTACTTATTCTTCTAAAGTCCTTTTAGAGAGAGGCAAAAACATGCATGACTGCTACAGAAACATTTCAGAGAGCAGAAAAATCAAAGCCTGTATCTGTTGCTGTTCTTGTTTTAAATCGGGTGGTACATAAAAGAGACAGTTTTAAAAATGAAAATAATGCCACCTATCAGTTCCAATGTCAGTCTAGTTCTCTGAGGACACACAAAATGCTTTCTGCATTAAGAAAAATGGTAAGAAATCGTACAGTGGAAGGAACTTCATATCCCCATCATTCTATTTTCAAAACAAGATATGGAAGTAGTTTAAGTTCCTGAAAGTCTCACCCTTAGGGGCTTAGTGAAATACAGTAAATCCTGTAGGTGTGCCAGCCTGCATTACATCCTGTTCTCATGGAATAATTATTGGAATCTCAAATGCAAACTTTGTGCATTAGAAAAAATCAACCAATTTATTTACACTGAACCAGGCTGACAGTGAACATAAAATACTTTCACATCCTCAACATACACGTTTAAGGATATGTTGGGAATTACTTATAAGGAAATATATTAAATCCTAACCACCCAATTGTGTTCATGGGAAGAGGGAGAGATGGGAAAGCTTCCTCTAAGCTGAAAACATAAGTGGCATATAGACATGTTTGGGCCCAACAAGACATGGTTCTTTCTGACCTCACATTAGTTACTATCCACTGGTTATGGTTTTAAAAATACAGTCATAATTGGAAATTATCCAACTCTTTGCAGTCCCTACACAACAAAGAATAGGGCTCTTTTCCTGCAGCCTAAGATATGTCAGATTTTTTTCTAGCTCTTGGAAGTCAAAGATTCTCAAGAGCAGTGAGATTTTCACTGATTCTGAATTCTCTGTTAAAAACCCATGGATAGGTTCCCCAATCATCTCTCTGCAGCAGCTTTTCAAGGACACAAAGGGAAGGGAAGAAGCTGGCAAAATAATCTCCTTATTTTTGTCCAGCAGGAGCTTTTAAGAGAATTAAATTCATCCTCAGAATGAATAGAGTTCTTTTATTTGTGGAATGTGATTTCTGGATCCAACCCAAAGTATGTTTAAATGTATTGCACACATTGATCAAAAATATAAAAAGCAAATTTACAGAATGTTTACATGAACTTTTATTTATGTCTGAGTAGCATCTTTCTCTAGCTTATCTGGGCATGAGACAATATTGCGGTGGAGAGGCTAAGATCAAACAAGCAGGCCATATTAGGCAATGCGTGCGGCTCGTGCACAGCCCATCCTCACCTCTTTAGATTTTCTGGTTGTGCAGAGAGATCAGGTCCTACAAAAACAAGCAGTAGATTGGTCCACTGCCTTGACGAGTTTCCCTCTTGCACTCTGTAGAGCCTTTCTTGCTGATTTGTCCTTCACGGGCAGCCGCAACAGTGTTTCCAACACTTCCCCCCAATCTCTCCCATGACATTCCTTGCTTCTAGGCATGCAGGGATTGGAAGGGGTTCTGCATGCACAGGTGGCAGCACCCCTTGGGATTTTGCTGCACTTTACTTGGGGCTAACAGGGAACACAAGCTGGCTGGAGAGCACTGGCCTGCTGGGCTCTGTTTCTTCTGTTAGGTGTTAGCCTCCTTACTGATAAATACATATCTGAAACAAGGAAACTCCTTTTCCTTGGCAGGGGGTGGTATGTCTCTCTCACCTGGCACTAGTCTTATGTGTGGTTCAGTTGGGTTTCTGTTTCTGCAGGAGGCAGCATGGCCTATTAGTCACTTCTGTTCCTGTTCAGTTTACATCTGACTGACACTGAACTGCAGTTTTAGGGTAGTGCATTGGCTGGTCAGTATGGCAACAATTCTTACAGCTATTTGGATATGTGAGCTTCCTGGAAGTATAATGCAAGTTCAATTGAACACCTCTGGAATTTGGGTTTTGGGGCACTTTTAGGGACCAGTGCAGCACAGAGAGCTACTCAACAGGTGACATTTTTAAAGATCTCACCTTGTGCCCATGTTCCTAAATTATGGTGCGCCTCATCTGTGCTTTGATCAGTTATTAAATGCACACACCTTTGGAAGGATGCTTTCACTACTGTTTATGTGAATAGTACACTGACTCCCTATACACCAAGGGCCATTTGCCTGGCTACAGCATTTATGCTACTCTGCCTCCATTTAATCTGTGGTTCCACACCCAACATATTCTGACAGTTTGGATAAAGGCATCTACCTATGCATTGTTGCATAACTAGTTATAGCATATGCAGGAATCAGCGCAAGGGTTGTGGATTATCCAGAGAATCTATAGATGATTGATGGATTTTATAGGTACTTAGAACCAGAGCTTCTTGTCAGACAGGCAGGGGATTCTGGTACTTCAGGTTGTTTCCACATCATTTATAAATAGAATGGTTGGTCAGTTAGGACTGTGAAGAGTAAGCTAGCCTTCATGGCTTTCTGGTTCAAAACAGTAGCTGTATTGGTTGACATGTAGAATCTTACAGTGTGGAGGGCATGGCCAAGTTGATCAAAACTATTTTTCCAGAATTATTGTTTCAGGTGTTGAGTAAGTGGCCATTTTTTGACATTTTTTTATTAAGTGGCTTTGCTTCACACAGCTATACAAATAACCTTTTCCCAGAGCTTTTCTGACAAGTTATCCAGATCTTTGTTGAGAAATAGCTAAGAAATTGCAACAAAAACACGTGCTGGCTGTGTCAACCACATTTAGCACCACTTGTACTGATAATAATGAATTTTCCATAGATTTCATTTTTTGGCTGCAAAAACTGGTTGTTTTCCAACTACTTTTTTTGGACAAAATACAGCATGTCCACAAGAGGCTATTGAAGCAATAGTCACTTTAGACAAGAGAAAGATGAGAATGGAGCATGGTACAGACAGAATAACTTATTTCCCTTAACACGGAGTGTACTTTCAAAGAGCATTAACCATTCAAAGGCAGTATGCAGGGCTAATGTGAGACACACTGTCCACACCTCCATAAAATTCCATGAAAGATGCAGGGAGTCAATATGATAAAAGCATCATTTGGATGTGACTTAGTACTCTGTGTGTGGCTTAAAGCCTTCCAATGTTGGACCATAAATAACACAGGGTTATTACTTTAAACAGCAGATGATTGGGATAGTTGAAATGACTATGAACAGGCATTCTCTTAAAAAAATGCTTGAATCTGCCCTGGAGACAAGATGGACAACTCATCTGAAGCAAACCAGCATTTCTCTCACATTCGTCTTCTTTTTCAGAGTTTAGCCTTTCAAATTGTATAGGTCACATCATCAGGGAAAGGATGTGCCAGCATTTGGAAACCCTTGCATAACAGAGCTGAGTAAATAATCTCTTAAAACTTTTTTGAGTATTTCCAAAGAAATTCACTTTCTATTTAATAAGTGACAATCTTAAGAATAATTTCATATTTCTGTTATGTTTATGCTAGTCTTTATTTTGTTTTGTATTTTTTCTATGTAATTGTATATGTTGGGTAAATAAAAATAGGAACATGCTTGTGTAGAATAATCTACCCACAGTCTTCTTCATGCAATGTGTGAAGGCTTAAAGTAGCTACTGGAAGCTACTGGAAGACAGACTATCTCCACCCTGCAAAGCTCCATACTGGGGATGCATCGCTAGCCCGACCACTTCTCAGCTGTCCAATTCTGAACAGCTGAGTCAGTGGGTAGTCCTGCTCATGATTGCTTGACATGAGCTGAACTGTCTATACAGTCGAGAATCTGCTTGCCAATTCTGTTGGGCTTTCTGGTCAACATGGTATTTTGGGATCTAAGGGAATGGTGCTGACATACACGGGGACATCTGAGATGGGGCAGCTTCTGCAGCCCCTACACACTTCCCAGTTTAGCTCCCCACACATTCAGGACAACATTGAAGAAGCTGTTCCTTAAGCAGAGCAGAAATTGCTAGGAGAGTGGTTCTCTCTTCATATTACAGTGCAGCATGATGAGTTTGACAGGTTAATATACTGAACAAGGTAATTCCAAATGTTGACACTTTCTTTAATCTTAATCCATTTTATGAGTTTTTCACTAATAAGATGGGTTTCCACAAATGATTAAATGAATTTTGCAAAATATGTTTTCAAAGCCAAGGTCATACATTAGTAACAAAAACTTGGTATTACAGTTATGTAGTAGCCTTCACTGTTGTTGTTAACATACATAACCAGCCAAGAAGTTTTGGTTCCATGTCAGCAGGATCAGTTCCTTTATAATAGAAAAGATACTAAGTGTAACTTTATTATGATACCTACCATCCATGTTATTGTTAGTTCTCGGTTGCTGCCACCCCCTCCTCCAACTTCTGAAGGAGCCACATTTGGAGCTAAATAATAGAAAAAGAGAAGATGTTGTCTCCACTTCCAAAAAATAAGGAACCCATTATTTAATTCCTCCCTTTATTAAGAATGTCAATGTGCCTGTAAGAGCCACATGATTATAGTAATAATAGCCTGTAACAGCTGAGAAAGTCTCAGGGTTTGCCAAATGTAAAACCTTCATTTTTGCCAGAAGAAGCATGCCAGTTTCCATCAAAGGTTTGATCTAGGCTTGGCTACAATGAATTGTTTTTCTTAATTATATTAGTCACTATGTTTTATTTATATTTTATTTTTCAGTTACTGGATTTATTCTTCTTACCTGAAGGACATGTTTTCAGGGATCACCCTTTGATTTGATTACAGTCAAATAGCATGTATCTAAATTGTACATCCAGGAATATCATATAAGAAGGGCACATCTCACAGCACTTAACATTCAATACCATCAAGGAGGTTGTAATTCTAGGGTTTTAAAGAGCAGTGGTACATGCACACAGAATACCTGAGTTGTCTGAAACATGATGTTTTGCATACACCTGCAACAGAGGAATTCAAATTGCACTATCCTGTCTGCCTATCCTGCCTTCCAGTCATGTATTGCATTTTATGTTTGCATTATTCCGTCATAGAGGGATAAGCCCACAGTACAGTACAGATAAAGAAAGCTGAGCAGAAAGCTGAGCAGAAAGCTGAAAGGTACTATGAGCAAGAGATCAATAGGCAGTAGCATCTTACCAGGTCGAGAACTAAGCCAGAGGAAAGAGAAAATGCTTCAGGAACTTGGACAGTTCTCAGGGACAAGACAACTTTGGACAAGAACATTCTGCCAACAGAGCTCTGATAGACACTCTACCAGGTATCACTCCCAGGTTTGGTTCCATTGCTGATTCTTATAGGGGAAGACCTCTGGCCTGAAGGTGGTTGCTCTATTTTTCCTTATCACATTACTTTTTGTGTGTATAGACTCGACAGGATGATCTTGGGAATAAGGGTGTTGGTGGGGCTGAATTGGGATTAAACTGTAATTCCATTGCTGGGGCTGGGTTGGGACAGAAGCTGCTGCCATTACAAGCATGGGTATCTAAGGTCTTGATTTTGGATGGTCCATGGTTACTCAGGTTCAGTGAGTTCTGCTACTGGCCATCTTGTACCTGACTGAGCCTGTGCCACAGATATTCCTGGTTCTATGGCCTGATCTGTACAAGTTAGTGCCCAAGTCTGTCTACAACAGACTCCTGGCTTGACTTTGACCTGATTGACTCTGCAATTTGGACTTGTGACTTGGACTGGCAATTGGATTCTGGCTGCCCACACCCTGGATCATTACAGTTTGCTAAGGCCACTCTGCACACTGACCTAGGCCACCATGAACTCCATGAAGTGAGTCATATGATTCAGGCTTTGCAAGCACAGGTGGCAGCCTTGCAGAATAAATTGGTTGCCCTGAGCAATGCCTCACCTTTGTCTAGCCATACTCCAGCTGCTTTTCTGGAGACTACAATGACTTTTGGAGATGTATTAAACACTATTGGCTACTTTTCAAATATGCCCTGAGGCCTACTCCACAGAATGCAGTCAAGCGGCCTTGATGGTAATCCTCTTCTCAGGCCCTGCCCTAGTCTAGGTATCACCACTCCTAGAGGCTGAAACTTGAATAATTTCATTCAGGTCCTAGTAGAGATGTTTGGGCATGCCAATTGAGAACAGACCACAGAACTAGCACTACAGGCTTTAAAGCAAGGGCGCTGTTCCATGCAGACTATGCAGCACAATTCTGCTGTTTGGCCATGGATACTCATTGGAATGAAGCTGCCCAGTGTTTCCATTTCCATGCTGGTTTAAACCCCAGCATTAAAGATGAAATGGTCTGGGTATTCCACTAAAATTCATCACAGTGTATATTAATATTGATTCCTGGTTGTTGGAAGGGGACAGAGAATACTAAGCCTATTGGGTAGAAGAGGCCCAAACTTGAGGACACTGAACCCTGTCTCTACTCCATAGCCAGAGTCCATGCAGGTGGACTGCTCTCACCAATGCTTATCTGAGATGGAGAAGCAACACTGCCAGAATAATGTACTGACTCTACTGCAGAGAGAAGGGACATTATGTTTCACCTGTCATCACCAAACAATTTACTATTGGAGGTGTTAGAGGGAACCCCACCAGGTCAACCCTCGTTTTGTGATACCAGTCTAGCAAGTGCTACCACAAGGGGGGGAAATACAGGTTATCATTAACCCTGGAGCTTCATCCAACTTTATGGACATTGGTTTTGCCAAGAAATTTTAGATTTTCTACTGACCCAAGCAGGCCCTAGTTCCAGTTGAGGGGCTAGATGGTTCACTCCTCACTTCAGGGCCAGTTACACATGAAAACACTCTTGGATATGCTTGTGGCCCCAAACCGCCAAGAATGGACCTTTTTTGATTTGATAAAAACCCCTCACTTCCTAGTGTTTATGGGAATTTCATGGTTGACACAGCATGATCCAACTATCTCTTGGAGTAAACAGACACTACAGCTTAGTTCCCTACAGTGCTTGGAGGTATGTTTTCAAGACCCTGTGACAGCAGCTTTAAAGGCCAGTTTTGGATCTGTCACCAGTTCAGAAGCACCCCATTCACTCCCTACAACCACCTCATCTGAAGGTGAATTCACCTTCATCCAAAGGTGACCAGCTACCAGACCCTTACAAGGACCTGGTGGGCATTTTTGAAAAGAAGTATGCTGAAACTTTACCTCCTCACTGTCCTTACAACTGTCCAGTGGATCTGCTGCCAGGATCAGAGATTCATTATGCCCTTTCTACCCAGAGTTACAGGCTCTCTGTGAATACTTGTACAATAATTTAGCTCAGGGTTTCATCTATTCATCCATGTCTCTTGCTGGGGCTCCCATCATCTTCATCAAAAAGAAAGATGGGGACTTGCATCCTTGCACAGATTATCACAGGTTGAACCATTTAACCATGAAGAACCGATACCGCTTTCTGCTCATCCCAGAACTATTTGACCAGATCCAGGGAGCTCAGATCTCTACCAAACAAGATTTATGATGGACATATTATCTAGTTTGGATCCAGGAAGGTGGCAAATAGAAGACTGCATTTCACAGCCACTCTGGACATTTTGAATATTTGGTAATGCCATTTGGCCTACGCAATGTCTCTGCCAGCTTTCAACATTTTGTGCATGATTTACTCTGGGACACATTGGACTGCTTCCTAGTGGTGTATCTTGACGATATCTTGATCTTTTCTGAGAATTTGGAAGATCATTTCCAGGAGGCCAGGGCAGTTCTCCTACACCTTCAGGGGCATCACTTGTATGCTAAATTAGAGAAGTGTGTTTTTCATCAAGACATGATGAAGTTCTTTGGGTAAATCATGTTATCAGCAAACCTCTGCATGGACCTTCAAAAGATCCAGACCATCATAGATTGGGAACCCCCCCCAAAGGATGTCAAGGGTGTACAGTACTGTTTGGGGTTCACCAGCTTCTATAAGAGGTTCATTCCAGGCTTTTCCCACTTCGTTACTCCTTTCACAATCTTACTTAGGAAAGGAACCAAATTTTCATGAACCTCCACAGCTCAAGAGATCTTTGTTGAACTGAAGGGGGCATTCACTTCAGCCCCAAACCTGGTTCACCCCAACCCTTTGTAGTCGAGACTGATGCCTCGAGCCAAGTGATTGGTGCCATACTTTTGCATTGCCAGGGCTTACACATCTCCTTCATCCATGTGCTTATTAATCCTAGCAATTAACACTCACTGAATGCAAGTATGGCATCTGGAACAAGGAGTTGTTGGCTGTCAAAGTGGCTTTCAAAAAGTGGCAGCATCTCCTAGAGGGTGTAGTCCATTCTATGCAGATACTCATGGACAGCTTAAACCTGAAGTACTTCCAATCTATGAAGTGCCTGAAAACTGCATGAAGCCTGGGCTCTCTTCTTCTCAAGGTTCAACTTTCAGATGATGCACTGGCCTGGTACTAAAAACAGGAAGGAGGATGGGCTACCCTGCAAAGATGAACCTGAAGAGTCTGCCCTGGCTTCTCTGTTAAACCATAACAACTTTCTCCTTGATACAGTGGATCAAAATTTCTTGCTCCAAGTTTGCCAAGCCCAGTCCACAGATAACTATGCACAGGCCAAGTAATCAGAAGTTGGCTCCATGGCAGCCCCCAGACACCTGGACTTTAATATCCATGATGGCTGCCTTAATTTCAAAGGACTTCTCTGCATTTCAGAAAGCGTTCTCTGACTACAAGTTCTGCAGCAATGCCATGATGCCTGTACTGCAGGGCATTGGTGGGTTGCCAAGACCCTTTATTTGGTAGCCTAAGCCATTTGGTGGCCAACCTGGTGGCCAGATATACATAAATACATTCAGTCTTGTGATGCCTGTGTCCAAGCCAAGGCTTATATCAGCAATCCTTAGGCCTCTTGCAATCTCTGCACATGCCTGCATGACCTTAGTTGGTTATCTCCATGGACTTTGTTGTGGCTCTACCTCCTTCCCAGGGACACACAGCCATCTTCATTGTAGTAGATACCTTGACTAAGATGACACATTTCATGCCTATCAAGAAGTTACCCAGTGCACAGCAGAGTACTCATCTCTTCCTGAAACATGTGTTCTGCCTACATGGTCTTCCTGATGCGATAATTTTGTGTTGTGGCACACAATTCCATTCCCGTTTCTGGGTGATCTTCTTGGATCTTTTGGGGTTGAACACAGGCTGTCCTCAGCATTCTGTCCACAACTGATAGCCAGACGGAGTGGGTGAACCAGATCCTAGAACAGTAGCTGAGCTGCTTTTTGAGTTATTGTCAGAATAACTTGGTGGAACTCCTCTCCCTGGTGGAGTTTGCTGACAATAATGCTGAGCATCCTTCCACGGGAAATAGTTCCTTTTTCACTAGTTATGTACACCACTTGCAAGATCACCCCCACATACTAGCTACTTCCCTTGTCCCATCCGTCAATGACCAACTGATCCTGGCTGAACTCCTTTACCACTTAGAATGCACTAAGGCAGCATAGAAAGAACAAACAGACCACAAGTGGCAAGAAGGATTCCAACTACAGGTGGGATACAAGGTCTGGTTGTCCATGGAGCATTATCGCTGACAACAGCTATCTTTTAAACTGGATGGCAAGTTTCAAGGATCTTTTCAAAACATCTAGTTAATCAGCCCAGTCACCTACAAACTAGCTCTGCCAAATCACTTCAAAATACACCCTGTATTCCATGTTTCTCATTTAAAACTCAGTTAAACGGAGAACCACTTCCCAAACGGCAAGGTTCTACCACTTCCCCCCAATTCAAGTTCAAGGTCAGGAGGAATACATGGCCAAGGTCCTAGACTCTAAGTGAGTGTGTGGCAAGTTTCACTATCTGGTAGATTGGTAAGGATACAGCCCAGAAGAATGCTTGTGGGAACCGGTGGAGAATATACACTGTCCTGCTAAGCTATGGCATTTCATAGAACCCACCTCAGCAATCTCTGACCTAGACTCCCGCTTTTCTTTTCTGGGGGTGGGTACTGTCAGAATCTAAGCAACTTCAGGGCTTCTCCTGCTGACCAAATGGCAGAATAACAGCCCTGATAGGCTTGTTTTTGCACTTTATATTAGTTGGATTTTATGTGGGTTTTGGCTGGCATTATTTTATTTATTATATTTATGTTATGCTGTTGGTGTTTCTTGTGAGCTGCCCAGACAGCCCATGGGCTATAGGGCATGCATACAAATGCAATAAATACATAAATAACAAAATAAAACTGTGGAAAAAGGAAAATATCGTATTATCCCTCTTAACTGGCTGAAATTGTTTTACTCAGAATTATAGGGGGTTTTTTTAATGGAAATTTATTTCTTCTTTTAATCAGTCTGTCTAGCTAAAGTGTCATTAGACCCCAATTTAATGCCAGGTTCAAGAGAATGCTGGTGCCTGTTTTAGTGATATAAATTTATACTTCAGCTAAGTATTCATTTATGACAATAGACCAATATCTGGATTGAAAGGCAAATACAAAAGAATAATTTAGAATGTGTTAAAGAATGATGTGCAGGCTTTTCTGGGTATTTCTTTAGTGACACATGATTTTCCAAAGAGACACTGTTATCACCTTCACACAGTCAAAACAGCATGCATTATCTGGAACAATAAGGGCAGCACTAATTCTTCATGTATAAAAAGTAATACCTCTTGATGGTTGAAGGATGTGCACCAATGAATGCTGAGATTTAACAGTAAGCAATTACAAACCAGAGCATGTGTTATGGAGGATAAGGTCATGCCTGTGATGCTGCATTAGAAGCTTTCTAACCACACTATCTAGTCCAACACAAGAGCACACTTGGGCATGTTTCCTTATGAGCATAAGGAAGCCTTTGCCTATTTTCTTCCATGCCTGCCAAGTTAAGACATATGGACCAACACTCAGTGGCAGTTTCTGTTGTTTGTATTAAGCAACTTCATGCTGCACTTAAACAGAAGGCTGGCACACTTCATCTCAGAATGGAAGGCCTCAAGTCTAGCAAGGGATAGATAAAAGCAGACCATCACTGGATTGGGATATTTAAGGAGGAAAGAACTAGCACAGCCCAGAGGCTTGATCATATTGCTTTGCATCCCAAACACTGCAGGATCAGCAAGGCTGAGGTGTATCAATAGTAGTACTAGTAGTAATAGTGATGGAGAGACTTGCACCAGTTCCATTTTGGACTTGGCCAGCACAGAGACCTAGACCCCACAGACATTAATCTGAAAATTAGTAATCCAGTTGGCATATTCTCTTTACTTTCATTCTTCATTGAAACTGAGAGCTCCATGACCCAGGATAGCAGCTCTACGTCACCTGGTGAATTTTGGAAGTGGCTACTGGTGGGTGGGGGTGGAGCAGAAGGGTCAGCACTGGTTCTAGCTATTCAGGGTTGTATATCCAGCGACTCCAGGACAGGAAAAGGGGAAACATCCTCTTTGGGTTGGGTTTGTTTTTTGTCATAGAATGTGCCTGAAATGTGCCAGATAGCAGCAGGCTCAATTCTAGGAGAGCTTTTGACTGACAAGGCAAAGCTTATCATTGAATACCCCACCACAATACCCCAAATTATTCGAGTAAAAGCAATACTGGAATGTTCCTTCTAAATTCTTATTAATAGAAACCAGTGCTGCACCAAATATTCTATCTAGAAACAGTGGTGGGTCCTTTATGAGATCTGACCTCTTGAAGCCACTCTAAAAATGGTTTCTGACCCAGCTTCCAAAAATTGCACCATCATTTATTTTATTTATTTATGTATTTATTTATATTCCACCTATTCCCAGTACTGGGATTTAAGGCAGCTTATACATTAAAAACTTATACAATTGCAACATAAATAGAAATACACAAACATTAAAGTATATTTAACTTAGTAGAATATTAAAATTATATAATTTACCAAAATTAAAAATGCTAATGAGGACATTCAGTAGTTACATAAGCTTTACTATGTTCTAAAATACTCTTGTCTGCTAAACTAAACACATTCTATGTGAAATTAGATGGGAAGACCCTAAAAGTTCTAGAAACATTTTAGAATGAGCAGGGGATGATCCGGACAACCAATTTTCCCCTATCATGAACTGAAATCTGCAATCAATGTACAGTGAAATTCAAATGAGACCCATCTGAAAATGCATGTGTCTGTAGTGGACTTTGGCCTGGATCTCATCTGATAATGTTCTGAGTGATTCTGTCTCACAGAAACTGCAAAACACAATGCAGAATGCAAAAGGCTTGCCCACCCGAATCCATAGAAAAATTGTTACTATCAGCATCCTTTGCTGAAAATTGTGATTCAGTACCGTTATTCATTAAATATCAGTATTACCATATTATATTAGGCTTCAACATTAAAATTATATCAGACAAGGCATTAGCATGTACGTACGAGATCCCTCTGTTCGAATTTTCTGTGATGGTATGCTAGGTTCTCCTCTCCCTAAAATATTAGTAGCCATTATCCGAAATTCATATTCCATCCATGGGATTAAATCAATCACTTTGGCTGATTCTGCATTTCCTTCAACAAGTGGAGGATCTAAATGAAAATGAAAAGGTCACTTACTGAAAGAACACATATGGAATAATAACCATTATTATAATTCTGTTGTCAGGAATGGCTCAATGACTTATGGGAAGCCACCAACACTGTGAACCAAATACAAGGGGGGAACATCCTTAATCTCCTTCCAATCAACTGACATACATACGTGTGTATGTGTGTTCTAAAAATCTGGCATTTTAGAACCCCCTGAGAAATTTTAACAGAAACTATGAAAAAATTATTTCTTATCCTCTTCCCATGGATGAAGCCAATATTTCACACAGGCTAAAATGAAGAACTACTTCAATTTCTAGTTTGTGCTCTGTTACTTTCAATAAAAAGTAGGGGCATCAGCTTGAAATTAAAGTTTCTGCAGCTTTCATTATACTGAATTGACCAGTCCTCAAGAGCACATTATGCCAGTCCATCATCAGCTGCACTGGCTGCCTGTTGTAGTCCTGGGCCAATTCAAAGAGTGGATATTAACCAAAAGAGTGCTTGGGTCCAGGATAGCTGAGGGAAACACGTCTCCATATGTCCTCACAAGACCAGTAAGATCTTTCTTGGAGCTCCTTCTCCACAATCCATCCCCTAATGGAGTAAGGTGGGGAAATGGTAAGAGAAGGGCTTCTTTGTGATCTCACCCCACTTATGGAACACCCTCCTTTAGGAAGCACATGTGGCACCATCATTGATTGTCTTCTGGCACCAAGTAAAGACTTTTTAATTTAACCCATGTTTTTAGTGGCTAGTTTGGTTTTTACTCAATGAACTTATTGCTGCTCACTCATTCCATTTTCTGCCGTTAATATTAGAATTTGTATTTTAATTGGATTTCATTCTTGTAATCTTTATTTTATTGTTCTTTTTTGTTTTATTGTTTTTACTGTTGTCTGTTTTGTTTTGTTTTGTTTCATTTGTAAGTTGCTCAGAGATCCCTTTGGGCTTTAGGACAGCATATAAATACAACAAATATGATGTTCATATTGATTGCCATTTTCACCAATTATTGCCTGGGCCAAAGCCCATGTATAGCTGTGGTTCATATATGGAACTCACAATTCCCATTGTATGAATGTACTACTAAATGTTGTATTTACTTTCTTAGAGTGGTGGCATAGACCACCTTTTTACAGCTGCACACTTTTTCATAACAACACCAAAATGATGCCATATGCAGACTAACAGATAGCACACTTGTACATATGCGCTACTGACAAATGTTTCCATCTGAGCACAGTATAATGCAGAATAATGCAAATATGAAAGGTCCATGTCCAGTTTCCATATATGTAACAAGATAGTACATGACAGCTGTTTCTAAACTGATCAACACCAGGAGAACATCATACAATTGTAAATTCTGGAAATTTGCTTGTGTACATGCAAAAATAGTTGAAATAATATTTCAATGGTACAGAACAAACACAAAGAAAGCAAAAAACACTGAATTTAAGGAACAGGGACAAGAAACTATTTTCAAGGTGCCTAAGTAGCCCTTTCAGATTTAGCAAAAGAGAAAGTCAAATGGTAATTGTTCCAGGTTGTTCATAAGAGGATCCCACCTCAAGGAAGAATTTTATTGTAAAATAAATGAGCATGAATAAATCAGGCAAGCACTTGAAAATTGCTCCCTCTCTCTCTCTCTGTCTCTCTCTCTGCAGGTTACAAAACCTGAAACAATCTTGTTCAACCATGTGTATCAGGTGTAATCCAATTCATGCTGTACCAGAGAAAAGCATGGTTTTCTCCTGTCCTACAAGTCTCACTTTCTGAGACTTTAGCAGTGTTACTTCAGGAATTCTGGGACTTGTAGGTTTTTCTATGTCTAAACATATATAGGATTATACGTATGGTTGCAATGATCTCATAGAATCCAGATCTCATATATTTCTGTTTCTTGGACTTCTTTTTCATGCTTGGCCCTGGGTTTAGGAAGTGAGCCAAGCTAGGAAGTATGTGAATGCTTGTGGAACCCACCTCATGCAACCCAGCAACCTTCCCCTATAACACATGCAGCAGAAACAAAGCCCATAAGTTGCATGTGCAGAAGAGGAATACCGCTTGCAAAGTATTCTTGTGAACTTGAATCCTGGATTCCTTGATTTGACAGCTTCTGCCCTGCCCCCCACAAGTGGATTCCATAATCACACACCCATCCATCATCTCAACTTTAATTGCTTGAGTATTGACCTTAACAAGACCACAGACTAGTGCATGGAATGTTAACCCTTTTGAATGTGCAGTTTTTCTTCAGCACATATGTTTGTAATATTAAAGACTTGTACTACTTTTTAACCACATGCATCCCATTTTCCCGTCTACCCTCTGGCACAGATTTTGGAAGTGCAAGAGTATGGAGTAGGAGGAATCAGCAAAAATCCCCTTTCTCACACACACACTTCTGCTGGTGGGAACAATGAATGAGTGCAATTCCAGTAAGGGGAGACAACTCATGAAGCAATGCTTCAATGCCGTTATTTCTATGCTACTCTTTTGTTGTTACACACAGTCCTTAGCTCTTGAAAATTCATGGCTGGGGCTTCCATTATGGAGTCAATCAATCTCATATTTGGTCTTCCTCGTCTTCTTTTGTCATCAACTTTCCCTAATATGATTGTCTTCTCCAGTAAGACTTGCTAACATATGATGTGCCTAAAGTATGACTAACTTTTGTCATGTTTGCTTCCATGGGCAGTTCTGCTTGATTTGATCTAAAACCTATTTGTTCATCTTTGTGTCTGCCCCAGGTATTCAGAAAGCTCCCCTCCAGCACCATGTCTCGAATGCCTCCATTTTCTTCATGCCAGCTTTCTTTACTGTCCTGCTTTCACCAATACCTAGCAAACAGGAATACAGTAATGTGGATGACCTTGGCCTTGCTCTCTCTACTCTTACCTGTTTTCATATCTTTCCACTGGTTCGATAGAAAGGTCAGTCCTTGTATAGTGTAATTTGAAATAGGACTGTGATTTTCTGTCCCACGGCTCCAAGTAAGAACTACAGATGTGTTTTTAACATCTTCTACTCTGAGTCCTCCTGGGGGACCTGGGGGACCTGAAAAATATTTCCACGAACAATAAGAACATTAGTTTTTTAAACATGAGACTGAGTCATATTAAGAATTAAAATGCTTTAAAAATATTACATTCTCTTTAGGTACTGCAGGAAATCTGTTAAAATCAGTTATTTCATATAGCAATTAAGCAGGTTTTTGCCTATCTAAGAACCAAATAATAAAAGAGAGGTGTGACAGGAATTTCTCTCTGCTTCATTTTGATGTAAATTCCTTGTTGTTGTTGTTAGTCGGGAAGTCGTGTCCGACTCATCGCGACCCCATGGACAACATTCCTCCAGGCCTTCCTGTCCTCCACCATCCCCCGGAGTCCACTTCAGCTCACACCAACTGCTTCAGTGACTCCATCTAGCCACCTCATCCTCTGCCATCCCCTTCTTCTTTTGCCATCTATTGTTCCCAGCATCAGGCTTTTCTCCAGGGAGTCCTTCCTTCTCATTAGGTGGCCAAAGTATTTGAGTTTCATCTTCACTATCTGGCCTTCTAAAGCGCAGTCAGGGTTGATCTCCTCTAGGACTGACCGGTTTGATCGCCTTGCGGTCCAAGGGACTCGCAGGAGTCTCCTCCAGCACCACAATTCAAAGGCCTCAATCCTTTTGCACTCAACCTTCCTTATGGTCCAGCTTTCACAGCCATACTTTCCTAGGATTCTTAAAATGACAACTTCCAAGTAGCAAAGTTCTGGAATTCCTGGCACATTCTGCAGTATGTTAGAGTGAGGAAGATGGAGGAGGAGGGAAAGAAAGAAAATATTCTCCTTCCTTTTCAGTGCTGATGGTACCACACTAATATTGCTGAATCTAATGAAATCCAGTATTCTCATTTCTCTAATACCAGTGTGGTGTGACCTGGAGTAAAAATAAGTAAACTAGTGTGGAACGAGATCCTTCAATTCTGAAACACACGTTGGATTGAGAAATGAGCTGATTTTCCTTTTTAACAAACAGAGCTAGTGAGATAACACATGTGGTATAGTGGTTAGAGCAGTGGAGTAGGCTAGGACTCAGGAGGCCTAAGATCCTGTCCTCCCCATGGCCTGGGTGACTCCAGGCCAGTCACTCATCCTCAGCCTAGTGCACCTCACTGTTGGGAAGAAAGCATGGCAGCCTGGAATATTGAGTTTGTATATACTGTCTTGGATGAAAGATGTGATAAAAACAAGGTTGCAAAAAGAAACTAGCTCCTGAAATTGCCTCTTTCCATGTTTTGATAGGTGGTGGCAAATTTCAAGGCCGGGGCTGGAAAAGTCAACAACATTCCCTTGCTCTCCTAAGCTACCAACCTGTTTTAATACTTGATAACATCACAAAATGAAGCTATCTGATGCAATAATTTCATTCAGATAAACATTTGAGGTTTTGGGGTGGCAGGGGAAAAAATGGCTATACTAGTTGCCAGCCACCACATGAACTCTTTATATTAGGATTTTCTCTCTCTTTCTCTTGCTATTTATCTATCCTACAAAGTGCAATATAAAGCTATATAATGTTTCTATTATAGTTTTTATATTTGCATATGTGTTTTAGTGCATTTGTTTTGTCTTGTTACATTTCAGTTAAGCTTTGCTTAACTTCAATTTTATTAATGTTAGCTGCCTTGAATGCCATTTTTGACAGAAAGTTAGCAAAATAAATAAATACAGTCAAACAAAATTCTTACCTCTGACAACAAGATCAGCTGAAGCTGTGGCATTATCAACAATTGACTGAGCAACGCATGTGTATCTTCCAGCATGCTTCAGCTGGGCATTTTTGACAATAAGTTCACCATTGTCCTTGATCTATGAAAAGGAGAGGAGAGAGAGGAGTGACATGCCTTTGAATTTGGATGTTGCTTTTATACATCTCACCAAAGTTACTAACATAAAATGCTATGCAATCCATGACCATGTAATCCTAAAAGAGATAAGTGGAAGCAATTGATAACTAAAGTAAAATGGCAATGCTATGGAGTGATCTGTAGCACTGAAAAATTGTTTGCCTACCCCTGCCCCCCAATATCTTTCTTCAGATTTCCTGTTTGGAAAAATTCAGTCTTTGATTATCTGTACCAAGACTTGGGAGAGACCTCTTAGTTACTGTACTGACTTCTTCCTAACAAGCGAAGATCCATTGTTAAGTTTGCTTTCACTTGACAGCTTGCTTTTTGACAGTTTTCAGGGAACAGCAAAGCAACATTTGTAGCCTTGCTTACTCAACATCCTTGGATGGTGCTGCCTATACTGTGGTAGGAGACATGAGCCAGGGTACTGACAAAGCAAGTCTTTTCATTTCCTTTTTATTTGCATGTAAATTTCTTAAATTACACTCTGCAAGACTAGTTTTTTTTTTTAAACATCACAAACTGTCATTCCCAGAAATCCATCTGCTGGCTTGACTGAGTACAAATTGATTAACACCAGCATGGTGGGAATGGAATGAAATCTGCAATGTTGAACCTGACAAAAATCTGTGGGATTTGCTCACATGTCCCTACACTTGAAACCATTAATTATCCTTTGAATGACAAATCAATTGACCATTTTATTTTCCCCAAACATGGAGAAGTTGATTGTTGCTCTTGTATTGCTGCTGGATTTTATCTTAATTTTATAGTTACTTATAAATATTTGATTTTCCTTGTTAATTGATTGCATGTAATCTTGGAGTCTTGATAACTGGAAAGGCAGAATATAATTTTTAAATAAATAGTGAGATTCACCTGCATAATAATATAATTCAACTTGGCCTGCATAAGTAGAGCGTATGGGAATGCTGGCTTACTTCACTTCAGACTAATTTGTTAAATGTGATTTAAGCAAACCTTTAGATTTCTATTGAATGTGTTTTTAAAAGCAGACCATTAAATACAGTATTATTGGGCAGTTTACTGTCTCAGATATGAATTTATACCCTCAGATACAACTCATACTAAGTTTTTCAACAAATAATTTAAATCTAGACATAATTTCACCAATGTCACCTGAGTTTCATTACTTTGGCAAGGTTTTTTATAAATCTGTTTTGCAGTTTATTAAGAAAATGTACTGAGAGCTACACATATGTTACTCTTCTAAAATATTTTCAAAAGCTCCTTGCTCATGCTTTCAAATACATCTAGAACTTATTCATATGTAGTAAAACATTACAAGAGATTAATAACTGGATTGCTATCATACCAACTTGGACTGGTTAACATTTTATTGTCTTAATTCCCCTAATGCATTCCAGATTATTCGGTGTCTCAATGGGAAGGGATAAGAGGTAATGGAGATGTTCACTCATATTTACTGAAGCATTCATTTACTGTTTAGGAAGGAGGAAACTTTCAGGGAAAGCAACAATATTTTGAGGTTTTTGTACATGAAACTTGTGGAAACTGCCTACTTACACCTAAACAGAATTTCCACTAGTGAAACCTGCAGTTGCCTTGGTAATATTTGTCTAAGGGAAAGGGAGATTCACTGCCAGGGCTGCTATTTATTTATATTATTTATCTGTTCAAATATTTGTAATCTGACTTTCAACAACTCAGATTAAAATCCATGTTGGAAATGCATGCTCGATAAAATTGGAATAGTGTATTGGTAAACACAAGACTGCTGCATATTTTGGCTTCCTCAAATATGTAACCACAGGGCAAGAAAGACAGATATTGCCGTCCTGATATTGTATGAAATGCATTCTTCTTCCTATACCACAATTCCTGTTTCTATGGAAAAACAGCACGTGGAGCAGCCGTCCAGTACATTTTGTCAAAGATTTTCATTTAAACAGGTTGCTAGTGCAAATCCATGCAAGTAAAAATGCCTATAACTATATACTGCCCAAAATATACATTCCAGCTTGGCACTGTCAAGATGCATTGGACTGCAACATCTGCAGCTATCATCTGCTGGGAATTGTAGTCCAATACCTCTGGCGTATTGGACCTCTGCAGCCGCCTTCCGGTTTAAAGTCTACACAGATGATCTAAAATGCTGACTTTACCACTACATCTACACTGTTCCGGAGAAATGCTGCGTAGCTGAAGCAGCTTGTGCTGACACTGTACAACAGTACTTTTGAGGGAGGAAAGTATGTGATCAGCTTCATATCTAAATGGCATCAGCTTGCACATAGAATATCTATATAAGCAAGCATTTAGTGGTTTGAAATCAAGCTTCCCAGTCCTCCATGAGACTGTTGCTGCTCCAAGGTAAAAATAAAGCTTACCAAGCAAATAACGAACATGGTCAGCAGCATATTTTAGCCACAACATAGAAAAGCATGCCCAATTATGTTTTCACTGAAAACCTCAGCTTGGCTGGATTGCAAACTACAGGAAGAACTGAATCATGGAACTGGAAACTTTGATAGCTGCTTCAAAGGATCTATGCTATTTACAATTCAGAGGTTTCTCAAAAGTTTACAGCTGAAGGCCTACATTATAAAAATACTCTACCAAGCCTATATATAACCTACTTCTAAATTTTGCTACTGACATATGGCAAGTCAGCATTTTCCCTCCATCTGTCTATGAGTACCAATTCCTCTACTAGGTTCCAAGTAATACTGTGTCACTAAAGTGCTGGAAAAATGTGTAATGGGTAACAAATGAGCCCATGGGACCCATATTGCATTGCTCTGAAATTGTGAAATGTGCTGCCTCAGGATCAGCACTGGGCCCTCACTCTCTTGGAATTCAGAAGAAAAACACAAAGGCATAGCTTTTAATGTAGCCTTTGAAATCATGTAACTATTTCCAGAGTGGGGGAGCCATACTAGTGCGTGGTGCAGTATGATGGGCAATGCCTCAAAAGAACCCTCTTTTGGTCCTGACCAACAATCCTAAAAAATAACACTGAAACTGTTTTACTGAAGACATTGCTGTTAAGTGGGGAGGCAACTGGATTTTCTATTTTAAGGTTCTAATTCAATGTTGTTTCACCAGACTTCCCAATAATAAAATGGCTTCCCATTTTAAAGGAGAAAATATCTCCTTTCTGGTTTGCATACAGAAACCTGAGTATTTATCTCAATACAATGAAGTAGTATTCTACAATTCTTAGCTGGCTTAGAAATATTTTCCAGTTATCAAACTACTGTGATCATTATTAACTACAAAAGAGGTTAAAAATCCAACATTATGTGTGAAATTATGACACAAAGCAGGTAACAGATACTGGGATATTAAATCTTTTCTTCTTCACCTGTCTTGATACTTCAACAAATCAGAATAAGCCTACAATATTCCTTACAACTTCCCAGTAAATTTTATTCAAAGCTGCCACCTGGTGGCCACAGCCTATAATTCCAGTCTTGGAAAGAAATGTGCAAACAGATTGTTTTTTTAGAATAGAATTACAGAAGTCCATTACCTTGGAACTCAGCTGGGAAAACAGGATCAATGGGTTTCTTCATGGTTCAAGGTGGACAGTAGGGTTTGGTTTGGTTTGGTTTTGGAAAGAGCTTCAGGTGATATATTAACATGTGTACACTGACCCCTCTATTACCTCTCTCTACTTGTGGGTTTTGCACTGGGACAGAAGAAAAGTGTACATCGCCAGGAGCAATGGCTGAGCTTACACAACACAGCAAACACCTCTGTGTTGTTTCCATGGAGTGTGGATATTTCCCCAAAGCTACTGGTCAGATGATCATGTTTTTAGCCAAGCAACATGCTTTCCGTGCTCTCAGCGATATTCTCCCTGCCTTGGCATGAATACTAGCAGCCTCTGTGAGTCAAATCCCACTCCCATTATGTTACAATGGTGTATTTTTCTGGTCGTAATCTCTGAAGACTGCCCATATTACTCTGAGCACTGCCCATATTACTGGGAGGTACAATAAATGATTGAAATTAGATGAAAGTACAATCTGCCAAGATGTACATATTACATGCTGGTACAACATGTAACAGAAGTCAGTGTGCTTTGGAGAAAGGGCAGTGATACCTAAAGATGTATCAGTGTTCCCATGGTAAAGGAGCTGGACTATCATGTTAGGGATGTCAGAGAAATCTACAAAAGATGCAAATGAGTTCATCTGACCTGTAGATAGCACAGCATGCTGGCTTTTCCTCAATTAGGAGGACTTGGTTTTATTTCTTGTTTTGTTGAAAAAATTGCCCTAATGGGCATGGTGCAGATAAGATAAAATGTGTCCACAACTTTCACTCTCTCTGTAATATACCAAGGAACTATATTAAGCTTGTCTCCTTTTGCAAAAGGAAAGCACATGTAGCAATGCATGTTACCTTGCATATGTAGCAATGCATTGCTTTCATCGGCATCAAATTGCAGTTCATGACACAGAGAGCAGTATGCTCCATTGGAGTGAGGAAAGCATCTCTACAGAAGATGGATTTTATATGTGGGTCACAAACCTATGGCCTCCAGATGTTGTTGATTTCCAGTCACCTTCAGTCAAGTATGGCCAATGGTCAAGAATTTGGGGGTCATCACCCAACAACATCTGGAGAGCAACATATTCTTCACCTGTTTGCATAGTCATTGACTTACGTGTCAGCATAATATTTGACTCTTGAAATAGGTTATTTTGATGACTGAGATCTGATATCAGCTCTGTGAAGTTCCTACAAAAACCCATTTTTTTCTCTTTTAGAAATGAACTCCTAATCTGGCAAAAGCTTAACTTTGTCTGGACATTTTATAAAAATCTCTCATCACCTTGTTCCTATAGGTGGGAATATTGGAATATTAAAATCTGATCATTTGACCAGAAACTGATTATATCAGGCAGAAATACACAACATCTTACCATGATGGACCTTTCATAGTATTCACTCTCTTTATCAACATCTATTGGATATCCATTGAGAAGCCAAATAAAAGTCAGGTCCAATGAAAGATCATGGGATGCCAGACACTGCATGGTAGCATTCTGTCCAACAATGACATCAACATTAGTGGGTGCTAATACAATCCTTGTAGCAGCTGTGCAATTAAAAGAAAAAGTGGGAAATGTCATGTTAGCAAACAAATGGATGTGCAACAACTAAGATTCTGTATCTGTTGTAAATAAGGACAAACAAGAATCAACATATATGAGGGAAAAAATAATCAGGATCATTTATGCATTGCGAAAGGAAAAATGGTTTGAATAAAGTGAAGACCCTGGATCAATTTTGAGATATTTTCTGTACAAAAGTAAAACACGTTTCTACAAAGTGAGAAGTTCCTATCTCATATTTGGTTGTTCTGTGGCACTAGTCCCATTTGTGTGCTACAGAACAGTTTTCTGATCAGGCTTCTCAATAATACAAGTAAATCTAATGATGCGTTGTCAGGAAGACTCTTTCTTGCCATCTCTTTGGGAATTCTTATGGGTGTCAGGTATTACATTTATGTATCTGCAGCATTTCTCACGACAGTACCACTTCCATGCAAGGGTTGAACAGTGGCAGCAAGGGAAGGGCTTTTCAGTGGTGGCCCCAGATTATGTAACTATATCCACATGGAAACCTTCTGCATCAACTGTTATTCTTTCAGTACTACATTAAGACTGCCCTTTTCTATGAAGCATTATTGGCATCTAATGGCATTTGGGGTACTTTTATGCTAGCCTAGCTGTATTAAAAATGGTTGTACAGTGAAGTTGTTATGCTGTTTGTATTGTCTTTATTTTTCCAAAGTAACATAAGCCACTATTCTGTTGTGGTACCAGTTTGTGAAACTTTCCTAGAGAGGTGTGATCAGCTATCTTTCTTTAAAATTTTAAGTGATAAGTTAGAACAATAAAAAGAGCTGGCTTTTAATCTGTAAAATTCTCCTTCCCTCACTGATTATGCTGGATTTATTCTGTTTCCAGTTTTACTGGATTTCAATTTACTTTAAGTTTTTGTTTTGTTTTAGGTGAGCTGCTCGGGGGACCTAGACCTGAAAAGTGGCATGTACATTATTCGCTTCATGGCTACCTTGCTCAATAGATTCTGAATTAATGTTTTATAAACATTGAACCAAATATATCTTAGAGAGGTGCTCTGAACAGGATTTCCCTGCATGGGGTAATCCACTGGCATTGTGAAGACTTCAGTTCTATTTACAGCATATTTGCTAATTTATCCCAAATGCATTTAATAAATTACCTTTAACTGAAAGAGTAGAAGAGCTGTTAGCTTTTCCTTTCTCATTTTCTACAAAACAGGTATAATTGCCTGCATCTGTTGCTGTCACATTAATAATTTCCAGACTTCCATCATACCAAATACGAATTCTGTTCAAAGAAAAAAAAATGTTGGGAAATGTTTCAGAAAAAGCAATGGTCATCCAACATTGATGTGGTTAGATTATCACATTAGAACTGCCTTTTGAAACTCCCAGTGATCTATCCAGTATTTGCAAAGTACAGGTCCTGCATGGATTACATTTTGATTACTCATAGCTATGTATACATTCATAAGTTTCTCTTGTTTAAAACTTATTTAAGCAAATTAATGGTGAAAGTATTACCAATAGGTCCTATGCCGCATTACCACTTCAGAAGAAAAATCCAAGCCAGTTATATGTGTGCACATAAGAATGCAGATTTTAAAAATTCCTGATATGATAGCACTTTTTAACTTTAATGACTAAAAATTAGGTCACTGATGCCCAGGACACAGGGGTTGCAGCCCTAAACACAGTTTCCCAGCAATAAGACCCAGTGGACACAGTGGGAAGATGTTACCTTAACAGCAAAACCATGTCCTTGTGCCCCCGAAGCAGGTTGCATACGGACACACAAAAGCCATTTTACAACAGCATTTCATAAAAAAAAATTTATTGCTTTTCCAGGACCCTTCAGAATCGTACTGAAAATACATAGACTGACACCTCTAAAAGGTATGTGCATGGTGACTAGCTAGGGCACAAAGAGGTAGGGCCCCTGTACATTGAAGAGTTGTTTTTACCAGGTGTGACTCAATTTCCACTTGATTACAGGCAGAGAAGCCCTGCCTTCTTTTGCATCAGATCACCTGACAGCTACGGTATGCACAGCCCATGTAGAGATCTAATGCATAATGACTATGAAACAATTACAGTTACAGGAAATGTCTACCAATATTAATATTGCAATTGTGCTTTGGGTGATGCACAAGGTGTTTTCAACAGAGCTGAAAGACTGATTCATTACTTTGGCACAAGAAAACCCCCAGCTGTATGTGTCTGATAAAAAGAAGGGAAGAAGGAATGCATTGGAGAAACATTATATTCAATTTAAATTATTTTCCTTGACGGAGCTATAGTCATTTCATGCATATTATCACACTGATGACCTGGAAGCCCCAGACCTTCAGGCCTCTTCTCACATGTTTACAGGAGACAGGTTCATCGTGTCGAAATAGGGCTGGATGGAATATATAATGTTGCTTTTCTATAACAAAGTACTGAAAGCAATTTAAAGCTCATGAGAGCACCTGACAATGTTTGTGGTGTTTCACCATTGTCCAATTTGTGAAAAATGTGAATTAGGAAGAAATCAGTGTTGACATGGACAACAAATATATTCAGAAGGCACCAATTACATGTAGTACTTAACTCCCGTGAATAATTTCTGTGGTTACTCATTTTCAGATTTAAGAATCTGACGTAAATTTTAATGTTCCTGATATAAAAAGAATGAATGCTTGCTGCAGAAGAGATCAACAATAAGCAGCAATGGACGCAGAACCAGCACCAGAGTTAAGTAAAAAGTAGCATCTGTGAGAACTTTACTTCCTGACAAAATTAACCAGTGCAGAGAATAATGTTTAAAAAGCTATGCTTTATGGAAAGAACACCCAGCCTCTGAAAGGCCTATCACCTTTCATCCTTCCTTCAAAGGCCCATGAGGGTACGCTACATCCTTATGCTTTATAATACGCAAAATGGCTCCAGCACTATTATCTTGGTAGGTTCTAATTTCATGTCCTGGTTTGTAAGCTAACATTGAACCATATGGTTAAATCCAAACTAAGAGTCAAACTACATGACATGGTATACACAAAGTAAGCGGAGGGATTTATTTGTTTAAAAAAGCAGCTGGGAAAAAGTTACTAAAAGCTTTTTTTTAATCAGCTGCAAACTGTGCAGTTAGTATATTGTGCAGGTTGACACTCACTTCGTTCCCACAGATAAGCACCCAGGTAATATTTCAGTGGAAATTTAAGCAGGCTATAGGAAGATAATATGTATTTTAAGTGTCCATAAAAGAAAAACTCAAGACTTCATTGAGTTAACATTTACACAAATGAACTAATCTATCAACAAAATCCCAAAACTGGTTTGGAACTCAAATTATATGATGCAGGCAACACTGTAGATGGCATGAATCTGTGTGATTAAAGGAGAGCAGGATGGTTCCCAGACATTGGGGCTTTTCTTGTATCTTTGCTCCAATCTCTATGCTCTGAGAAGATATATGAAAGGGAGGCCAACTTTCAAACAGAAATGTCTGAGGACAGAGACAGGAAGACAGCTATAGAAACATAAAAACAGAGTGAGTCAGAAGGGGTCTCCCAGGCCATCTAGTCTGACCCCCTGCTCAGTCTGACCCCCAGGTTATAGCCTTAACCCCTTTTAATTGGTGGACCCCCTTCAACATGAATTATGTGTGAAGATGGCAAATTCAACCCACCAAGCTAAACCCAACCATGTATTCTATCCTTTGTCAAGTCTTTGATGGTCCTTTGGCAGGACAGTCACAATGGACACCTTCCCTCAGGGAATCTGCCTTCGTGCTGCCAATCTCAGCCACCAGCAGCTTTTCCCACTTCTTCTCAAGTTTGCTGCCACTTGCTTGCTCGATAAGTGAAGGGTCAGTGAGCCACAGGCTGTGGCATCCATGGCTCCTCTTTTTTACCATTATTATTATTATTATTAGGATATGACCTTTATATGGGCTGGAATGAGAGAAAGGTGAACCCCCAGCCTCCAGTGGTGCAGTGGAGAAGCAAGGCCAGGGAGCTCCCATCAGGGGGCTCCTGCTGGACTTTTGGCAGGTGCCTAGACATCCATGCCTGCCCTTCACACAACCCTGCTATTGGTGCTCACACACATGTACCCACTTTTCAGCTAATGGGCACCACTCAAAATAGCTGGTCACAAGTTGTGCTGGCTGCACTAACCAATGATACTGACCGGGTTGAGTTTCTAAGAATTTCTGTCCCTTTGCTCCATGTGAGTTTTGGCCTAGGAGCTGCTCTGGGCTTGCATTCAATTATGGCTTGGCCACCTTTGGCAGCCAATACGTCTTTCTTCATTGGGTAGAATTCAAAGGTTGGAGCTAGCACTGCAGAGAAAAACAGGAATATATTTAGGCTTATGCACATTTATTTAAGACACTACCAGTGCGGTCCTACACTTTCTACTTGGAAGTAAATTCCATTGAAGTTTAGTTTGATAAGCATGTATTGGATTGAAGTCTATTCTGATATATTGCAGAGTTAAGGAAATAGCTTAACATAATAAGCTGACTTTTAACAAGATTAATCAATCACTAATTGATTAAGCGTAAGTACTTTTGCATATTACCTCAAGATAGTTGTCTTTTTTTCAGGTACTAAAGGCAGTATGAAAACTTCATTTATCAAAAAATACTATCCACCAGTGGTTATCTGTAATATTTATTTGTCCATTCCTATTACATTAACACACCAGAACCAAAACAGCCTCAAAATAAATCAGTATATCTTTAATTTAATGCTACACACACTTGAAATTTATCTTCACTAATTAATAGACCAGAGCTTAGTTGGTTATTCTACCAGTCCAATGAGGCTGATAGGCATATTGACACAGATGTTGTCTTTGTAGTTCTATCACTCTGGAAAACACTCAGACAGCTAATTTCAACCATCTCAGTGTTGTGCCCTGGACTGAGCAGAGAAGGTAGGAGCTTCTCCATATGGTAGCAGTGCCTGCCTCCTATTTTCTCTCCTCCCCAACATACCTGCAAAACTCCTTCTCTGAAATTGCTTTTGGAACTGTCAGTGATGGCTGCTGGAACTCCAAGTTCCAGCTCCAATCTTAGAACAAGTTTCTGAGGCTGGAGCCGGGACTCTAAATTCTCCCTACAGCTTCTAGACTGTCCCACTAGCTGCCACAAGTTGTATCCTAAATGTTGCATATGTATTTACTACATCATTTTAGTTTGGACATTTATATCAGCCCTCAACAAATTCCCAGGATAGCTTATGCAACCATAATGCAGCAAATATTAAAATGCAGGTGAGCATATATTGCAATAATAAACCATTAATCAGCAAAAAACCAAAATGCACTCACAGGACATGATATAGACTAAAAATTAGTGTATGAAAGAGTCTGGGGACATTTTGTATTTGCCTGGCCCCAAAAATGATTTTAGACAGGAGCCAGATGAACTTCTGTGGGGTAAGGATTGCACAGGATGGGTGCTGCCACCACCAAACCTTTCCTCTTTTGCATCCCACATCTCAGGTGGTAGAGGACTTCCAAGAGACATTAGCTAAAGATGCTAAGATGCAGACAGGCACAAATGAAAACAGGCAGGTACCTGTTTAGTATCAGGTACCAGGTGCTTTAGGTACCTGATACTAAAATGTAAAGGCCTTTGAAAGTCAAAATTGGCACTTGGAATTGAGGCCAGAAATAGCCTGTGAGTAAGTACCGTTAACAAAACATATTATCTCATTACTAGCTTTACTTACTAGGAATGCTTTCAATCAATACAGAGTATTATATTTTCACTAACCTATAACCTTCAGCTCAGCATTTGAATAAATCATCCCATGAGTATTTTCTGCCACACATTGATACATGCCAGTATCTTCAACTGTCAGGTGCGAAAATCTCAGTTCTCCTTTCCAGTACTGAAAATAAAACATGGAATAAGAGATTTATCATAGGCACTAAGCAATATTAAAAGATTTAGGTCATCTGCTTTTCTCTGTATTTTGGCACAGCATCTTCCACATTGAATATCTTTGCCTTCTGGAACACTGCTACATCCTATACATTTTCCCCTTATTGTTCACATGTAATGGAAAAGGTTCCTGTGGTGATTTGTACAGTGTACAGAAGGCCAGGGTGACACTTTTGACAGTGGTAGGCACTGCTTCTGTTAAGGGATAAGGCTCAAAACAAGTCCCACTTCAGCCCAAAATAGGATAAGGAAGTGTGGATTCGGGCCCCAAAATGTATTATCAGTGCTGTCAAAGTTAGTGGTCGTGTTGCTAACTACCTGTTTGGTGGCTTCACTGACTGGGAAAAGAGAAAATGGAATATCTGGTTGTGAACTACTACTCCGTGAGTGCAGCTCCGAATAAATGTAAAAGGCCCAAACCAGTAAGTATACTTGCATACAAAAGCCTTCTTCCTTGATTCAAATTGGTCTTTCTTGCAAGACATGGGTGAATACACTAATTGGAAGTCTAGTTCTATAAGGCACTGTAGAACTGGCACAAGAACTATCAGATTTTACAGCATGGATTTTCTATCAATACAATTGTACCTGCACGTATGCAGAAGGAAGTCCTTTCAGTTTCAGTTCCGATGTAAATTTGTATAGGATTACAGCATGCGTGCACTAACATTAAAATACATCTATCTGAAAGAAGTAATTTACTTTTATTTAACATTCTTCAAAGGAGTTTGAATTTTTATGTAGTTCTATTATGTCATATTCTTGTAATTCTTATTTAGTTAGTTTTTAGTGTGAAAACAAGGAAGAACCCTTCAAAGGCACCCTGGCATTCTGTAGTTCTGAATGAAGCTAGTGTTTCCTGTGCAATTTGTCCACATAAGAAACACAGAGAAAAGAATGTGTTTACCTCGTTTTTACAGCCAAATTCTAATTATTCCTACTGCAATCTGTTGTGGACATGTGCTAAAGAAGGACCTCCATTGAAATTTCAAATGCTGTGTGATCTTGATACAGCTCACGTTCATTTTCTAAAGATGGATCTGAAGTCCATATCCTAAAGACCTGTCCAATAAATGCTACTTATATAGCATGCAACAAACAAAGGATCATTTATGAACACCCTTTTTCATCATAAATATTTTAATTCTTGTTTGTTTGTTAATTTATTTGAACAAGCACACCTTTAGGGCTAAAGGAGAAAAATATTTAGTTTACTAGGTTTAACAAATATACCAATTTCTCAGCGATCAGGATATCGTGTTTCAGTCTGTTCAAAATCAGAATAATTGCATAGCATGCTGTTTGGGAATAATGAGCTGCGCCTAGTATGGCAATACTGTGGATTTTCTGTTTGCTTGCTTGCTTTACAAGAAATATATTGCCAACAGATAACTCGGTAATGCCTCATTTATTTTTAAATGTGAGCCTGCTGGCCATATAGAAAATATGGATTGTTTTTACAACAAAATAGTTGGAAAACATCCAATCTAAAAACAAAGGATATGCTGTGATACATAGTTTATAAATATATTGTAAAAATATTTTTGCATGTATCAAAATCTGTCTCAATTTATTCATGCACTTTCTATTAACAGAAGAAAAAGTGTGGATATGACTCAGAGTATAAACTAAGCCTACCGGTAATCCATTTTTCAGCCATCGGATTGTTGGGAGAGGTTTGCCTGCAGCTGTACATGGCCAATGGAATTCACTGCCTACATCTCTCTCTGTATCATTAATATGCTCCACCCATTCTGGATATGCTAAAAGACACAGAAAACACAGCTCTCGTATTTTATCCATACTTAAAATCAGCCATCCACTTGTTCTAGTTGCCCTACAAGTGCGCAACCATGTTCAGTATTGTTGTTGTTGCTATGTACAATCAAGCTGCCTCTGACTTAGTGCCCGTCTGAATGAGTGCCCTCCAAAATGTTTTGTCCTTGACAGCCCTGCTCAACGCTTGAAAACTCAAGGCTTACGGTAGGCTGACACGTCATGTGAACCAGATCATTCCTTCTGACACAGGATGCTATACTCAAGTTACCATGGCTGTTGGCTATTAGCAGGTTTATTGTCCATTAATCTGTCCAATCCCCTTTTAATGCTGATATTTAATGCCATCTTTCTAACTTGTGGTAGCAAAATCCTCAATTTATCGATGCCCTGTATTAGAATATGTTTCCTTTTATCTGCTTTGAATTTTATCTGTGAAATATATTCACACGTGTGGAAAAGTGTTCTACCTACCTTGAACATAAACTTTTGCTGAATGTTTATCTTTTCCTCTGTGGTTTTCAGCTTCACATTCGTATATTCCTTCATCTTCAAACTGAATATTGAAGATCTTCAGGACTGCACCAGACATACTTATATCTGCACTGCTTGGCATAGGTTCCAGATACTTACTCCATCTGATCTCAGGAACAGGGCTTGAGTGGAGGAGGAAATGCAGCACATGTGAATAGAATTCCAGGATCTCTGGCAATCGCATCTAGGGCCCCTCTCCATGCATTGCGAGATGCTACTCTCCCTTTCTACTTAATAAAGCCACTCCCGCTTCCAAATTTCTCCTCACTGTTCACTTCTTTCAAGAAAGTCGGTCTTAAATGAACTGAACTCTCACGTTGCTGTTTTCCTGTTGCCTCTTAATGTGCTCCTACCACTCCCCTTAGAGCAATCAACTCCCAATCACTCCCTCCCCAGCTCCTCGTCTGGTCTATCAACTGCAGATTAGGCAGACACTGCTCCACTTCTAGATCCTGCCCAGGACCCCAAGAACTGTAAAACTGTAGCAAGGAAATGGGCTGTTGAAATATTGTACTTGTGATTCCCGCCATGAAATGGGAATCTTAAGGGGAATATTTTGGGTAGAACCACATATACCCAGGTGTGCACGCACACAAAGACGTACTAGAAGTATAAGAGATAATGTAAAGGCAGAGGGAATAATGGTGGCCTGAAACACCTTTCAAGTCAAAGCACAGAGGATGTTTGGACAATGTACCTTTCCAGTGCCACTGGAGGCAGATCAGGTCTCCTTTATGCTTTTCAGGGAGGAGATATCTGCAGCTCAAGGCTCACTGTGGGACAGGTGTGAACATCCCAACCACTGTGCATTATCTCATAAAATGCCAGCCTAGCTAAAGGCAGCAGCTGCAGCCCATTAAAAATGTGTACACAAAGCTGCTCTGAATCTGGGGAATGAATAAGATGGTAACACTTGGATTTTCTGAGTACAAAACACAGGATTATTCCTGATGACGAATTTGCTGCCAACCTTAACCTAGTTTAGCCTATCCAAACTTTGCCCATGTGTGAACTTAGTTCAAATATACTAACTTTCCAAGTGCAAAGCACTCCAGGGTCACATTTTGTCCTAACAGTGCATATGTGTCTTTGAACTTCACTCTGATATCTGGCAGATAGCCTTTTGAACCTATTTTGAAGAGAAAGATGGAAATAAATAGTTAGGAATACTTATAAACAACCTTTTCTTCTAGGAATTCAACGTCACAAATATGACTTTGTGACTTTGCTGAAATATCAGCAACAATAACCTGAAAACAGAGCATCTAAAACATCTTTTCAGTAAATGCTGGGCATTAAAACATGAAAGGAGCAGAAAATGACACATCAATGAAAATATATGTCCAAAAAACCCCAACCTGTTGCAGAACTGGGTGTAAGTCCATGCAGACAACCACTGAAACACATGTGCTATCCCTTATTTGTACCAGAAACATCCTAACAATTATTTTGCAGGATTACTGACACAACTAAGTCCACCCTGGGGTATTTTTGCCGTCCACATAGTATCCAGCTTTCCATAAGGATTTTGAAGAATTTGAGACACAATTCTTCACCACAGCATGATATATTTGGTTCATTTTAATTAAACATGAAAGGCTGCTTTGACATCCTTTCATTCTGTCCTTTATTTATCCTCTGTTTGTGTGAAGTGTTGCCGCTTCGAAAGAGTTACGCATTTATCTCGCAGGTAGAAGAGCACATTCATCACAGACATACTGCAGGCACTCCAGGGGGCCTAATGTCACCACTGCCTTTTTCTTTCAGGAGTTTCCAAATCCAACTGTGGCTGCTTCAAAAGCTAAGTATACATACAATTCTTTGCAATAACACACCCTCCTTCACAAGACTTGATTTCACTATCAGATACTTAGATACATTATTCACTATTTATTACTTTAATTTATATCCTGCCTTTGCCCCCCAAAATAGCATGCCAACAATAAAATCCAACTTTTGATCATATATGACACTATTTTGCCAAAAAGGGTACCCATAATGTGAACTGGCCTAATTTTCAACCTGCAGGGGAAGGGTTAACTGACATTTTGGGGAAATGGCTGCAAGTGCCAGGTGTTGATTCAAGAACACCCAGGCACCATGTTCTCAAGAGAGCTGGACAGTGCTTGGGAATGCAAAAGAAGAGATATTGTAAATTATCCTAAAGGACAAGGGAATTGGCTCTCCCCAAGAAAACTGGAGAATGGGCAATAATGACAAAATGATCCTTACCTGGAATATGTCATATGCTGTCACCCCATGAGCTACCTGATTAAGAAAGGGGGATAAAAGAAGGGGGCGGAAAAGGCTTGGGGTTCCTCTTCAAGGAGAGGTTCCTTTCTTGCTCTGCTGAAGAATGCTCTGCTAACTTGTATTTGAGAAGACTACAGCTGGTATAGTATTCTTTGTTTAGAGTTAAACAAGGGAAACTGGAGTCTCGAGGAATCTGATCGGTTACTGTGTTTGTGCTGCTCTCCAACTCCCCTTTCCTTTCCCTTCCCTTCCTTCCTTGTGTGTATCGTGTCTTATCTGTCCTAGTGGTTTTAGACCCACCGCACCCCTATTTGTTAGCCTTCTAAATAAAATCCTCCCCCCCACCCCCAACACTTCGTTTGTCGTGTGCTGAATTCAGTGTTTGATCCAGAATTGGGGACCAGGGAATCTCTGGGCAGAAGTTACAGCCCAGTGGCCACAGGGTGGTGGAAACTCAAGACTTCATTTCACTATAAGATACAGTGGTACCTCGGCTCAAGAACAGCTCAGTTCACAACCAAATCGGGCTGTGAACAAACATTTCATAAAAATTTTGACTCAGGTTGCAAACTCTGCATTGGGTGGTGGCCGCAATTGTGGCCATCTCCCTACCCCACACCCCAAGTGGGGAGATGGCTGTGATTGTGCTGGGGACAGTGGGGAGATGGCTGAGATCGTGCCCATCTTTTCTGCACGAGTGCAACTGCGATCTCGGCCATCTCCCCCCGACAGCATGATCGCGCTCATCTCCACCCGCAGCATGCAGGTATGATGGGCGCAATCATGGTCATGCTGGGGGCAGTGAGGAGATGGCCACTCTCGTGCTCTACGGGGAGGGAGATGGCCACAATCTTTGTTGTTCTTTGCCACTTTGTTTCAAATTTTTCTGATTAAAAAAAATAGTTACAGAACGGATTAACTTTATTTACATTGACCCTTATGGGGAAATTTAACTTGGCTCACGACCAATTTGGGTCACAACCAGAGTCCTGAATGGATTAAGTTTGTGAGCCAAGGTACCTCTGTACTTTGAAACATTATTCACTATTAATTAATTTAATTTATATCCTGTCAAAAAGTGGCATCTTACAATAAAACCCAACCTTTGGCAATATATGCCACCATTCTGCCACTTGGTGTGGATACCCATAATCAAATACAGTTTTAAAAGCACAACAATAAAGACAATAAATAGCACACACCCCGTTAAGCACTCCTCCAGCATTGGATAAGCTTACATGCCAAAGGCCTGCCTATATAAAAATATCTTTACCTGACAGTTCCAACCCTGTTTTCCATCCCCACCAAAGATGCCTCTGATGACACAAATCTAAAAGAAGGGCTTCCCCCAAAGATCTTAAAACCAAGGTGGGCATGTATGAAAGAAGGTGGTTTTTCAGGTAGCTTTGCCCCAAGCCTTAGAGCGGTATAGGTTATAACCAACACTTTGAATTGTACCCCAAAACAGCCAGGTAGCCAGTGAAGTTACTGTTACAAGGGAGTTGTCTGCTTGCAATGGCCCCAATCAGTGGTTTGGCCACAGCATTCTGGACCACCTGAAGTTTCCAAACATTTTTCAAAGACAGGCTTCTGTACGGAGGGCATAACATCGTTCCAGAAAAGATGTCACTAAGTCATATTGCCCACGGCTACAACAGACATTCTATTGTAACAGAAAGGCACACTAGCAGGAAATACGCAATACTTACGGTCTGCTTGAGGAATAAGTGGAATGAAACTGCTGAATACACTCTTAGTGATTGAGTTGCTGGTCACAAAGCAAGAGTAGTTGCCTTTATCTGATGCTTCAACTTTAGCAATGTAGAGATTGCCATTGGTTTGTGACACATATCGCCGCTTATCCAAAGTGATGAATTCTGGGAAGTCGTTCAGAACCCAGCGGTAACTCAGATCATCTAGAGAGAGTAAAACAAAGTTTTAACTAAAATTAACACAGAAAACACACATATATACACACACAGAGGGAGAGTGAAAGAGGGAGAGAGATCTCTTCTAAGCATATCACTATGAATAGAAAAGGAACTGATTTACTCTGAGATTAAAGTTATTGATTCTCTCAGTCAGTGTGTCTAAGAACAGAAGTTCTCCAACATAGTAAGGCAGGGATCTTACTCAATTTACCTGATTTAGCCAGAGATGTGAGTGAATTGAATCTAGGGTCAGAAATAGACAAAGCGTGTGTTTTGTCACTAAGCTATGACATTACTACATATTGTAACAGAAAGCTGCTAAAATTGAATATTGAAGAAAGGAGCACAATTCTCTAAGTAAAATTGTGCAGAGTAAATTATGATGTGAGGTCCTCCATGCTATACAATTATTATTTGTAACACAATCAGATTTTGCAAAGCACTGAATTGCTCTAGCAGAGTTGATGAAACAAGCCAGTATATGCTTTCTTTCCAGGGACAAAATTAAGCAGCTGTAGCACTAGAAAAGTATACTATCCCTATAATAATAGTACTGCCCTGAGAAGAAATGTCTAGATCCCATATAGATTGCACCATTGGTTCATCTACTTAGTATCATTTGAACTGAGTAGAAGTTTCCTAAAACTGAAGAAGGAGCTCCTTAAGTTTGTTTCCTAGCCCTATCTGGAAATGCCGAGGATTTATCTGAAAACTTTCATATGCAAAGCATTTACTCTGTAAGTGAATCGTATCATTTTCCTAACCAGAAAGTTAAAAGGGAATTGTGTAAGTTTCAGTGAAGATACATAAAGTTAGAGGCATTGCCCAAATATATAGCCTGAGAATTTCAGGCTGCTGAATTTCAGACATTCAAAGATTTCAAAGGCACTGGGAAGTAATGGATATGGAAGTACATTAAGAACTAACTTAATTATTGCTTATTCTTGTTAGTCCCCCCCATAACATGCATTCTCTAGAAGCAACATTATAATTGCGTTTTAAATAGTTTAAACAATTTAACAATCAAATTTAAGAGTGAAATCTACACCAGCACAGAGAATAACAACAACTTCACTCAGATAATGGATTCGAATAAAGAGTACCAAAAACCTAAAAGTCCCCATTGAAACAGAGACTAGTATAGCAATATAAAGCTTTAAAATACACTAAAATAAAGAAATGTGAATATGAGAACTTATGAAGAGCCATACTGGTTCAGGCATATATTTAAGGTACTTATGGTACTTAGCCTTCTTTAGGTACTTAAGGTACTTAGCCTTCTACTCTCATGCGTGGCCAACCAGGTGACCCAGTGAGAAACAAACAAGCAGGACATGAATGCAGGAGCACCCTTCCCAGCAACTGGTATGGAGAGGCATTCTGACTCTTTTATGGGAGGTAAGACTTATTCTTCATGGCCAAGGATTGCCTCATCCTTCAGTAAGCTTAGTTTCTATGCTAGAAACCTGCTTATTTTAGAAATGGATGGGAACTGTTTCAGAAATGATATGCTGAAATGTGGCTTCAGGGCAGCATTTAGCTGCATATACATACATGTTGATTCATCCAAATGAAAACCTGAAAATTTATATGGTACAATGTGAATAAGAAAGTGCTTTCTTGTGATTCAGAAGCATTTCTCAGCCCTGATCCCTATATATGTATCATCCAGGTGAGTAAAACAAAGAAAGAAATACAAGTATATGCATAGAGGGGGGCACATATTGATCTTTTGGCTTGAAGTGGGAAAGGCAAGTTAATAAAGGGTAAGGATCTATATAACTGATCTGCAAATTCTATTCTTTCTATTCTATTCTATTCTCTATATTGTATTACTCAATGTGTTTGGTACCCAATAGCTGAGGTGAACAACAGTAATAAATGCAATAAAATACAATACTTATTGAAACAATAAAACTTCATAAAACTGCATCAAACATTGAAAACAAATTTAAAACCACATTTTAAAAAATAAACAGCTAAAAACAGACCATACTGCTGGGTCTGCAGAAAAACAACCAGCAATACTCCTCACCCCATCCCCCATTTGCTCTTTGGAGTCAATAAATGCCTCAGCAAAGAAGACAAACTTAACCCGGCCCTGAAAAGAGCGTAAAGTGGTAATGGCTATCCTTGGTCAGCCGATCACCATTATTTGGGGGCCATAACAAAAAAGACCCTCCTCCTTGTTGCCACCAGCTAAGCCTCCCTTATTCCATGGCATTCATAGTAAAGCTTCAGATGTTGAACATACTGTCTGGATACCCAATGGATGGATGGAAGGGGCCTTCTATCAGGTATTGTAATTGGAAGCATTTATAATCTAATCAAAACTAACTTATGATAATAGTTTATAATAATAGATTTATAATACAAAGTATACTCCAATAAACTTGGGGATAGGGGGCAGACATAAAGGTATACATGGAAAAAATATGGGGACAAGCAGGCCTTTGGTAGGGTACTGGAGATGTGCTTTTTCCAGTGACAAAATTCTGTCAGTCGCTAAACCACTTCTTTGAGTAAATGGAGTTGGGTTTAAAATGATATATCCCCGCTAACAAGAATCACAGTTCAGTCTTCTAGCAATTCCCTGCCCTAATATTAGCTGAAAGGATTTGTTTTCTGAATTAATTTGTTGCAGGCTTGCATATGAAATGATGAGTTTAGAATTGGTAATTCACCCAAATTCAAGAAAAATATCATGTCTTGACCCAATTAATTATTGTCTGACTGATAGACTTACAAGAGCCTTCAATAATCAGAACATATTCTTTTCTGCTTTAGCACACACATTTGTTTTTAGATGAAAGATTTCCACCAAGATCAGCCCTAAAAGTCTTCTGCCTGTATTAGCAGATAAAACAGCTGCCAGACATCTGTATTTTAAGGCAGGTGCCAGGATTAGCATGTGTTTGACCACTACACTGGACAATGATCTGCCTCAATTTGAGGCAACTTTCTATGCCATTATGAACTCAGGACAAGCTACAGCAGGAAGGAAGACTGGCAATGAGGGTGAAAGAAAAATTCCTCAGCATGCTGCTTAGGTGGAACTGGTTGTCTGTGTCTGCAACGGCAGGGGTTGCATCCTTTAGCCGAAACAGCTACATCAAGAAACAACATGATGCGGAAAAGAAATGTCAACCCTCGGGCATGCTGGAGACTATAAAGTCCATATGACAAATAGAAGTTATGAACTACCCTGCATACAGGCAGATTAAGGGATTCGTTTTGATGAAAGGCCTGTTAACTTCCAACAACTACTGGGCTGGGTATGTCCATCGAGAGAGTGGAGCTAATGACTGCTTCTATTCTCTCCCAGCTCCATCCCTGTTAACAAGATGTCTCTGACCCCTCTGAACTCTCCCTACAAGATGACAGCAGTTGCTCCATGGTTCTGCCTGCCTCTTCTTCATTTGCCTGCCATTCCACTCAGCATAGGTTGGCAATTATACTAGTTCATCTATGGAATATACTTCCACATAAATGAATATAGGATTTCTGCTAGGAAATAATAGACTCTACACCTCGTTTGTATTTGAACCAAAGTCCTTCCCAAGGGTATGCATGAGCATTCAGGAAACTTGATCAGGAAAGGCTTTAACAACAACCAAATGCAGTTGGTCCTTAATCTGAGGAAAACCAACCATACTCTAAGGACTAAAAAAAGTCAAGCAGAGAGGTCGATCTGTGCTTTTCTTATTACAGGGTTTAAGCAGCTTATGTAGCTTATACAGTCATATTCAAAGTTAGCAATTTTGTAATCGTATTAGCTTCTATCCTGTTCTTTCAATGAAAGTTGAAAAATGTGAATTTAATTACCTGGATAATGAGGTGGAGGGTCACAGAGGAGGACAGCCCCCACACCTTCCCGTACTTTTACTGCATGCCTTTCTTCAGGTGTAAATGGATATAAATCTATTCAAGACAATAAATATGTGTTAAACAATCATAATATAATATGCAACTCATACTAGAGAAATTAATACACATATCAAATGGAAATTTGCAGATATATAATTATATCCCTGTTTTACTCCAAAATAAATTCATGATGAGCAAAAGCAAAACCCCAGATTAACTTTTATCCAATTTTCTAATTCCAGTTTCTAGCAAAGAGGATAATACTCACTTTTTAAAAGGGCACTAGTGCCTTTATACTCTAGATAAAAAACTTGTGGCCTACTCATTCTTTGAGACAGGACAGAAGGTGTTCGCTAACAGTGGGAATATAGGCAAACCACAGGAATGATTTGTCTGGAAATACAAGGCTTTTAAAAGATCCTATAAAGGCCAATACAACAGTCAGGACTTTCACTGCACTGGCTGATGAAACAGACTGCTCCCAGTGCAGACTTGGAACGTCTGCTAAAGCATGTCAAAGAATCAGGAAGAAGCCTGATCATACGGAATAGCAAGAATGGTTGAGTGGCAGCAAACTGGAAAAGCAAAAAATGGTTGAGCAGTGCAGTGGCTTAGTTTTGGTTTGTGTTGTGGATAGAAACGGGCAAAGGCCCATTAGAAAAGGGGCTCAGGGTTCACTCAAGGCATGGAGAAGAGGAGGTAAGGTGGGTTTCAGATCCCAGTGGAGGGCTACATGCTAGCATGTCCATGAAAACTTAGTTTTGATGGTCCAGAGGTTCCATGAGTCATAGACACCAGCTGGGGGGATGAAGAAGCTTGGCTGAGAAGTGCATGCAGAGAACCAATATGCATTAGGCCGGCTCTAATCACTACCTGTTGTTTTTATTAGGTTATTGAAGCTTCAGCCTACAGAAAATTTGTTATAAAACACTCTAATATTCACAATTATAGCACCCTACCATGTATAAAATGTTCTGCTATCTCTCCAGCTCTAGGGACCAGAAGTGCATTTTTTACCTGCCAAACTTTAAGAAAATGAAAACGAAAAGAAAAGCCTTATACCTAAGTAATATTTTTAACATTTATTTTGACATTTGGTTTAAGATTTAAAAGGTGCAGGAGGATTAGGTTGTCATTGTAGAAAAAAGAATTTGCAAGCATTTGCAGAGGCACTGCATGTATATTAAGTACAATAATTTTGCATATGTTCCAAATTGATTTGACAGCAGCCATGATCCTGGTCTTCGGTAACTGGAAAGGGTGTGTCTCCAGTGTATATTTTCTAGCAGCAACAGTGATTACAATTATCTTTTAATTCCAGTTTCCACATCTAAAGTATTATTTTCATTTAAAATGTGGGGGAGAAAAAGGCTAATCTCTCCATACAAATACTTTTCATAATATCATTTCATATTTTCCGCTCTTGAAGGAACCACTAAAGTCCATGATATTTTGTTAACATCTTCAAAGTGAATACTACTAATAATGGACCATCAAACAATGTTTTATTTTCAAAATTAGCTTGCTGACTTGTTTCCAAGATCTGCTGAAGTGGCAAATAAGCATTTACCATGGATTATGCCAAGATTATGCTTTAAACCATAACACTATTGTAGGCGTGGGATTTCCATACTGCAGGCGGGCAAGCTTGTGTGAACATGCTAATGGACTGAGAGACAAAAGGAATTTCAGGGCTTCCTCACAAAATGATCATTTATATCTTTCAAGAACAGAAATCAACTTCTGAAGAAGAAGAGTCCCCAAACTGTACAACTAATAGAAAGCCCAGCAGACAGGATTTTTATAAAAATGTACAAAAGGAAATTAGGGAGTATCTTGCCACAATATAGATGTTTCCCCCCTTTGCATGTAGCTGCAGAAAACAGGATTGGAGGAGTTTTCTGCCAGTGTGCATCTGCACATGGCAGAAAGGAAATGGTTTGCATTAGAATGGAACCAGCATGAGACACGGATCTATTTGGGCAACTGGAAGGATCACTGTGGACACCTGACATTCCACCATACATGCTATTTTCCAATCTCTCTTAAGCCAATATGCCAAATGAACAATGCAGCCAGCCAACCCAGGACTTCAGCAGGAGAGGGCTTACACACCAAGCAACAAAAAACAAGATTGATATTTTCACCAGTCGAAAATAAATAAATAAATAAATACTGCTTACATCCAAAGTTTAAAGTTGCTTCCCGGCTCCTTATAGTTCCATGTATATTGTATGCTATACAAACATAGGTTCCTTCATCCCTTGATTTCTCAGGGTTATTGATTTCCAGGTTACCTCCTACCATACTGTGGTGCTCCTTCGACATTTTTATATCAACATCACGATTGTTGCGTTGCCACCTATTAAGAGGAGAAGTAAACATCCAAATATCTGCATTTTGCTATCTCTGTCCAGGTGTTATACCCACATCATGCCCGAACAGGACACATAAAGATGGGGAAGACAAGTAGGGCCAAGCATCTGACCCCACCTTCGGTGTTCTACATGTACCAGTCCCAACTTCTCAGTCCCCAACTCCCTGGGATGAACAGGGAATCCACAGGGGTGGCAACATCTATCATTTGAGTACCCCTCATAGAACTGGGAACCATAATAAAGTATGGATCCCACTCATGTGGAAGTTCAAGTGAATGCAAGTAAAATCCCTCTGAAGTCTTCTCTGCTTAACACAGGGACACTGGGGACATGGGTAGGTGGAGGCTGACACGTGTTGTGCCATATTTCTTACTCATGAGTATAATGCCTGAATATTATAGTGACTGCTTTAGTGCCTTGTGACTCCTGCACCAAAAGTATGACATCTTATTCCTAAAGAATGGATGTGAGAAAGTCTTGCAGTACAGAGAAACCTGTGTTCCTCAATGTGCAATCAAGCACTGGAAAGGATGGTTTCATAGATTTCTACATAGAAAACTACATAAACAAAGGTGGGTGTCAAGGAACAGATGCATGGAATCTGTGAAGCACTGCTGCTGATATAGAAATGCAGTTGTGCTGGATGGAAGAAGACGGAAACTCTCTGCTTCTTCAAAATGTATTAAACAATCCAAACTAAAATTGAATATTGAAGAAAGGAGCACAGTTCTCCAAGCAAAATTGCGCAGAGTAAATTATGATGTGAGATCCTCCATGCTATACAATTATTATTTGTAACACAATCAGATTTTGCAAAGCACTGAATTGTTCTAGCAGAGTTGATGAAACAAGCCAGTATATGCTTTCTTTCCAGGGACAAAATTAAGCAGCTGTAGCACTAGAGAAATATACTATCACTATAATAATAGTACTGCCCTGTGAAGAAATGTCTAGACCCCATACAACAAATAGCTAATCATCATCATCATCATCATCATTCATCATCTTTATTCTATTCATGTATATACTATAATAAAGATACATTCTGAAAAAGCTTCATAAACTGATATATTTAACTAACATTCAACTACAAATGTTAAAAGCATAAAACACATTATTTTCTCCAGATTAGGATCTGAAAAGTGATTAAAATGTTTATTAGCCTGGTATGATCTCTGCTTTTGAAGAAGGAATGTGCAGCTTGACTTCCTTCTGAGTAAAATGCATTTGTTCTGCATCATTCACCAGCAGAAAAGCATCTCTAGCATTTATGCCTGTGCACCACGAAAACTTATAAAACTGATATAATACTTTCAGTTGTGGCTTATACAAGAATAAGGACCGTATCCAGCATGAAACAGAGCATAGATGCGGAAGTGAAATGGTGTTACAGATATGCCTTGAGAATGCTCATTTGATGGCAATATCAGAAAGAGCAAGTCTGAACCTATTTCTTCCTTCTTTCTCTGGGCTTATGTCAGTATTGACTAGTTCATGCAACCTTTCAAGCCTGTATGTAGGAACCTCACTTTTCGGTCAGTCAATACCAACTCCCAGAAACTGAATTTATTACGATTTGGCCCTAGATGGTATTGAAATAGAATGGAAACTGGTTTCTCGAATGTCTAAGGACTCAAGATCATGCTGTATTGCCTTGTACCAAGCTCCTTCTCTTTCTGGTCTGGAAGAAATGGAAAGTATAATCATTTTGGCCACCAGGGGGAGAACCTAATTCAACTTTCCCCACAACTTTCCCTAATTCAACTTTCCCCAAGTGGAAATTCAATAAATAGATAGATAGATGCAAGTAGATTAATTCTGAAGCAAATTATTATTACCTCCCTTGGAAAGATCATACTGAAATCCCTGAATCACCATAGAGTCATTCTTTCCCATTTTCTTTCTTTTGTAATAGAATGCTAACATATTCCCAGTGTCTTTTCCTGTTTCTTACAGGGTCAGATCAATACATATGCACTTATATCACTTATATCAAAACTCTGAGTACTGTTGCATCACCTAAGCAAATCCATGCAGAAGTGGGCGAGAGATGCAGATTATGATATATGCAGTCCAGCACATTTTACATTACATTATAATTTCACATGATCATTTACCTCACTAAAAATAATAGTATACAATTTAGATGTGCCTTCCTAGATATATATTGATACTTTGTAAAACAAAATCTCATAAATGAAGTTCTTCTGAGTGCTTTGCTTCTGATATTTCTCTTCTTTTCATAACTACCACTGCAAGTGTTGCGATTATTCCCATGAGGAAATGAGCAATACCAACTTGCCCAATGCTATCAAAGTAATGCACCATGGCTGCATCTTTCCAGATCAAAATCTCAAAGAAATGAATGGCAATTTCTGTACATTTGTCAGAAAGATCAACAAATGTTACTTGTAAGTAGGAGTAGGGATTCCTCTGGCCCTGCAATTCATCGAAACTCTTCCATCTGGAGATTCTTCTGGGTAGACTGTATCAATGGGCTGTTCTTCAAAAATTGGCCCATAGCCTTTTAGTTCATCTGAAAATAAATGAATTAAAATATCAGGAAAGTGCATAGCAAATGCACAGAATGGAAATGCCTACAAATTGTATAGTTTATTTTAATAAATCAAAAGAGTGAACAGTTAAAGCAGCGACAGTTAAAGCTCTAGTTTCCAGTTTACTCCTATAGATTTTCAATGTATCTCCCATTAGAAAAGGCTATAAACTACATAAAATTCCCCTTAAGGCCACGGGCTCTCTGTGGATCCTGTCAACGATGCTGCCAAAGCTTCTTGTATAGTCCACCAAATAGCTACCAGATGGTGATGACATCTGTTTTGGGTCATTATGAACAGTAACACTGAAGTTAAAAGCTTAAAAGGGTAGGTTCGTTTAGCAGTCTGCTTAGTCACCCCCCTGCACCCAAAGCTCCCAGTTGACTTTTCAGTTACCCTGCTGTGCAGGACAGCAGAGTATTCCCAAAGCTTGGCTTTGACACTTGAAATGAATCTAATGTTTAAAAAGAAAAAAGAAACATGTGCAGACTTTATGCCCTCTACACTAAGTAGCCACAGCCTGTACCTGTTCATCTAGGCAAGTGAAGACAGGTAACTTTGTGCAAGTAGAGCAACTGGCACATTTTAGTTTAGAAATTTGAGTCCTTCAGAAAGCTAAAACAAGCTAGTACAGTCATACTAATAAGATGCTAGTAATGTCTACTGAAAATGAAGTATGTTACTTGTGTGGTTAAAGCATGAAATAAAGCCAAACCATGACTTACAGGATCATTTTTCTTCCTTTAAAAATCTATGTAAGATATATTAATTTCCAGTGTACTAACTAGCAATTTTCTCCAAAGCATAAAATGTCACTGCCTTTAGGTTAAATAAAGTAAATATTATCTAGTTTTTAGCATTATGTTTTTGTGCTTGGAGTAGTATAAACATTCGGTATAAATTTGATTGTGTTGTTTTTGAAAAATGTGATTAACCTTTAAAATTATATTAATACACCAGATGGTTGTGCCATCGAGATTTCCTCTGATCACAGAAAACAAGCTTTAACTATATAAAGATTTTAAAAAACAACAAGAAACCCCTGTAGTCATTTTGAAAATGAACTTTCAAATCAATGAATGGGAAGAGTGAATGGAAGACATATATCAAAAGCTTAACCCATACTTATTGCTATTATCTGTATTTGGATATCTCAGATTTAAAAAAAAATCATCTGTTTTGGAGAAGCCCTTTTGAATAGAATTTTAAAGCTCTGAAACTAACTTCTAATTATGTAATACATTTCCAATCAGATATTTAACATAGCTAACCTAATTTTATAACTATAAAGTTTATCAAAATCAAAATATTCTTTGTACGACTCACAAATGCCTTGCACTTATATACAAAGAGGCATATCCTCACATTCATTTGGAGTCCTTTACTATATTCATACCTCAAAAGGCAATTCTATTTCTAGTAGAAAATATATTCATACCAGCAGAAAGTAACTTGTTATCATCAGTGCTATTGTCTAGTCCATTACATCTTCTGTATCACCAGTACCATTAACTTAAACTGTGATGACCAGTTTGTTCTGGTATTCCTCATGCATGTAATCACTGCTAATTATGTACAAAATCGGCATTTGGAACTATAAGCATCACTTTTAAAGAAGTATCACTAATGTAATATGAGATCAAAAACGTATCTCAAATGCTTCTAAACACTTTATGCTGTTGATGCTACACCAGAGCGAACAATTGCATGTGACAATTACAGCAATGAGGAAAAAAATGCTTGAATGCTGCCATTTTGCCTAGCCTTTTACTGGGCTAAGTGGGTGCACTCCTTTAACTGCCATTTCCTGTAAATATAAGACTAGGAAGATAATTAACTAAATATGATATTTATTTGATGTGATTTTATATTTCTTTCTTTTGGCCCTTTCCTTATAGGATAACAGCACGGGCTAAAACATACAGTAATAAACCAGAATCATTTATTATTCAGTATCTAAGCCTTCTCCAAAGTAATTAAGATAGCTACAAAACATATATTTGACCTTTCTTCTAGATAGCAATGTCACACATTATTGTGACTAGATAATAATTTCACTCTGCAGAGAAACGGCAATGCAACAGCCACCTTCATTTGAGTCAATTTATTTTGCCAGCTAACAAATTAAAGTGGGCTTGTATATAATTTAGTGCAGAAAATCAATTTTATCCATAAATAAAAGAGTAAATAAAGTAATGGCATGTAATTTCATAACCCTGTGTAAATGTGAAGACTGCGCTCTCTCCAGTGTCACCAAAATTTTACAATGTTTGGTAAAGATCTGTCTTGTGCCACAACATCATTCTTTGATCCTTACACTCTTGCTTATTATTATTATACCCCATGTTATTCCCTATACCCCAAGATTTATACCCCATATTTTTCCTTACAACGAACTCAAACTGGCTTACAAGAAACTCTTCCTTCTGCTCTGTCTTTCCCCACAACAACAGCCTTGTGAGGTAGGTTAAGGTGAGAATCTGTGACTGGCCCAAAGTCACCCAGTTAGCTCCAAGGCTGAGTGAGGACTAGAACCCAGATCCCCCGAGTCCTAGCCTTGTCCTGTGGTCTTGTGCTCTGACTTGAGCAGATGATCACAATGCCCCATTCAGCTTCTCCCAAGGAAAGAGAAAGTTAGCCCAAAAATTACAGATTAGAAATATTTTCCATATTCAGGTCTGCTCTATATGCTCTTCAGTGTACAATTCCATAGCACCTGCACCAGGAATGATTGAGGAAAACATTTTCCAGTGAAGCTACACTGATATCTTAGGGGAAAGTATTATGCTGGCCATATAAAGTAGATTAACCAAATTATATTTATGTAGATATCTATTCATGCATATTTACCTAACTCTTAAGCATATATGATTAAAAGAAAGATTAAGGGTAAAAGTTAAAAGAACAATTTATTATTGAAAGCAGGGAAAGGTGGCCTTTAAAATAAGAACACATACAGAACATGTGAAATTAGCAGAGTCAATGAAAGTCAATCCACTCTACTCCTATAGCCATTTATGTGCAGGATTTGCTTACTCCACTGCAATATATACCAGGGATGAACATTATAAGAAAAATTGCTGCTCTTGCTGTACAAAGGTTCCAACACATGCAAAAAGGGCTAGCAAAGGAAATCCTATCACATTGTACAGCTGACTGCCTGTAGATGTAGACTGTGATTAACTGCATAAGGTCTCGTCACTGAGTTGTTCTGATAACAGAATCATAAACTCAGCAGAATGTGGTTACCTACCACTATGCTGGCAGAGTTCCCTTTTTTCCTTAATCAGCTGCTCTTTCTTTTCTTTTCTTTTTTCATTCTGCATGTACAGTGAGAACATTCTATCCATGAATCCAGTTCACTGGACCTTGCCAATTGTCTGGCTGCTTTTTTGCACTTGTACTAGCTATGGAAATTTGATAGCTTATGGAAGAAAATGTGACAATTGGAGAGAGAAGAGTCAGTCATTTTAATGCTTCTTTCGGCTGAAAAAGCTCTCCACTGTGATCCTAAAGATTTCACTATGATGGAAAATCAAATGAAAACAACAAGGTTTTCTTCTACTGCTTCTGGTTCTATCATACTGTATTCCTAGCCATAGATTAAGAACTTAAGAAGAGAAGAAGAGCCATGCTGGATCAGACCAAACGTCCATCTACACACTGACAAAGCAGCTGCCCACAGATCCCTCAAGCAGGGTGCAAGACCTCCTCCTGCCCAAGCCCCTCAGCAATTGGTGAATGCAGGCATGCCAGCTCTGGTAAAGGAGGTAGCTAACAAGGCTATTTTGCATACATAGACAGGGAATATTTGTTAGCAATATTCCTTTCCTTTCCATGTGTATTGCATGCATATATTACTCTAGTAATAATCAAAATTCATACCAGAACTATATGAATTTATATGAACTCTGATCTCTACAAAGGAAATAGAGCTTCAAAGCCTTTAGAAAAGCCAGGGTAGCATTACATAAAAATGACATATTTTTATTTTTTTAAATCCCTATAAAATTTTTACTCTTTTTCAAGCTTTCATTGCTGTATGCCATTTAACTTATTTCCCTGCTATGAAGATTTCTTTTCATTTGCACTATAGACACACACACACAAATCTGGCTGACAACTATCAGTTGAGTAAACTATGAACAACACTTCCTGGACAGTATACAGAGGATCTTTCAGCTGAATCTCTCCACTTTGGACACTACATGCCAGTAATTAAGAGGATGTTTGCATTTGAAATGAAGCAACACTTAAATTAGGTCACCTTAATTGAAAGAATACAAACAATGTTTTGTGAAATTGTTTCCTTTTTATTGCCTTTTTGTTTTCATCCAGTCTTTACTTTGTGAACCAGCATTGCAATTATATTATATTGAGTAAAGAAAACATATGGAACAAAATCATTGCTTAGGATGACAAATAATTTATTAAGAATATGAATTTTATTCTTAGAGAAAGCCACCATGCTTACTATATGCATCAGAAAAAAAGATTGTGAATACTTTTCCAGGGGTATGTGTGTGTGAGTGTGTGTGTGTGTTATTTTAATAAACAGCCCCACATTTATGCTACAGATGCATATCCTTTTTGTAACACTTTAGCAGTCATGACTTCTCTGGGGAACTGAAGTTTTGTGATGTTCTTGCAAAGAGATTTTCTGCTCTCCAGAACTTCTCAGTGGCATCCAATGCTGTTGCAGTACCAGTGCTACTAAGACCAGCAGAAACCAACACTAGTCTGACATCATTCCTCTGAGCTGCCACTGGTTTATACCAAGGGTTCCTAAGGTTTCTTGGGAAGAAAGAATGGCCATTAACCCAGGGAGACCCTGTAGCTGAGGCTTGCTCCTAGAAATAGCTCTAGTGGGACTTGCAACAAAATGTGGTACACCTGTTCAGTATTCCAGTCAGGCCACCATTACTGCTTTCAGGTGACTCTGCTCTGTTCCCCACCCCAATGGACACTCAGCATTCTGGAATCACTGAACATGCTGTCCCCAACTGTGATGAGGTGAGGGGTTGTCCACTGATTGTTTTTTACCTAATTTATATTTTAATTGTTGCAAACCTCAGGGCAAGTTTTCTCAGCAGCCCCACTCTGGCTATGCAGCCATCGTAACTCACCCATTGTTATATGTTTATGAAGATACTTCGCTGCTGATCATGATGATAGATTTTCTATGGAATAAAGACTTTGAGAATTTTAGCCCAGTAATATTTTTGTTGCAAATATTTTTATTTCTTCCAAGTAATGTTCTACTCTGTACATTCAATGAATAGAAATAGTAGCTTTCCAATATCCCTGTTTATATACCTCTCTAAAATCCTCTTCCCCATACACCAAGAAGGAGAAAGCAAGTGGTGGAGGCCAACTTCAGGTTACGTAAATATATCCTGTGAAGAACAACATTCCAAGTACCAGTGTCCACACATACTGCAACACAACTAACTCCTCTGATCCATTTTGGAAACCAATTTGGCACTTCATTCCATCATTGAACACCGCAACAAAAGTAAATATTTCTTAGGAGCAAACAGAAAGGTCTAAATTTAGCCTGTTTGTAATAACTAACTACTGGAATGATATCTGCTTGGAGGGGAGACCACCTGGAAACTGCATGTAGCCAGCTTGAGTTCTACAATAGGAGAAAGATGGGATATATATATAATAAATACATGAAAGAGTAAGAATACCAACGTATCTTTACATGAGAGAGAAATCCAGAATGTCTGCCTTGAAACTCATTAATTGCTTGTGCAAAAACTGGATCTTAGTAAGAATCAAAGGGGCTCTTCATTGGTACAAACGTGTTCTTAATAAGAATCCAATCATCTGCCATCTACCATTTCAATGTCAACTTTGTCAAGTATCATTCTTCTTGGTTCTGATGACAATGCTGTGAGAGAACATTGTCTCTTAGCAACATTGGTTTGGATACAATGGGTATATATCATATTGTATGATGTATGATATCATACAATAAATTTATAAAGAATAAGGACTGTTTCACTTGGTAAAAAGCTGTGAATCTTGACATATTTTATGCACTTCAAGCGGAATTTAAATATAAATTTCAGCCTCCACTTCACAACAAAAGTTGGAAAAAAATCCATACAGACTTTGTTATGGTTGTTGTTAATGTGTGGTTGGTTGCTCTTCAAGTAGAAAATGTCCTATTTAGCATTTGTTAGGAAACTAACATTGACCTCAGTATTGCTTCCAGACAGCTTTAAAGGGACTGTCCAAAATAGCATGAAAAATAGTAACAGTCTGACTTATCTACAAACAGATTGAAAACTCTGTGTAATTCTTGAATACCAAAGCACATACATATATTAGGAAAATGTACTCTAACATGTCAACCATGAAATGCTGAAATTGCATTATGTATGGATTTTCAGAGCATTTGACTCCTTAAAAGAGAGGGAAAGAGAGAGACTGCATGCATCCATGTGTGTGTGTACAAACACAGAGACACATAAAGAAAGCTTCTGCTATCTATGATTTTTTCTCATAAGTTGAAAACAAAAATTAATAGATTATAAAAATGATGCAAAATACATACTGGACATCCTGCAGAAAAATGAAAAATAAAATGCTACCAATCAGTTAAGTTTTGAACTATTTTCTTAAGTATTCAAGAGCCAACTGCCCCTTTATTACCAACTAAGTAATTTGCTGCTTTTGTTCACCTTTTCTAAGAGAAAGTGCAGTCTGAGAAGCCATATGTCAAAATAATGGATGTAAGTGAAGAGGACTTGCAACAATGATTTATCCCCGACACAAATAATTATTGTTTTTCTAGCTACATGTTGAAGACAATCTCTATGTATCAGGTGCATCAAATCATAGACTTCTCCTGACAACATTTATGAGGTTTTTCAGATTAACTAGAATCAAAATTTATACTCAGTGACCTTTATTTTACTGTATTCTTGTCTAAACAAAGGAACTTTGGTCTCTTTTATTGTGGACTTTTATATAAACATGTGTCTAGTTAGGATACATCCTTGAATCAGGGGAGGATTATGGATTTTGCATCTCTGAAGACATGTAGATCTAACATTTTGAATTTGTAAAGTATAATTTAAAGCTCAAGGACACATCTTTGTCTTTTCAGGCTTAACCACAATGTATACTTTCACTGAAGCTAACATTAATTCTCAGTTCAAACATTATGAATAATCAGTTTTGTTTTTTGTTTTTTTGTAAACCCTGGATAGTCATGAACAAGTGGAGGTAAACAAGCATGCATTCACTCCTGCTGCAAACAGGAGGGGCTAAACAAACCAGGGATGCCCCATTTGTTTATCATTATGTCCAAACCTGCCTTCGAGTTGCTAGCTGAGAAACAATCTATAGCTGGATGACACCCATTCACAGTTACCCAGATTGTAATACCCTAGGAAGTCAGGACATGTGAATCAGGGCTTTTGTGGGTTACTTTTAAGCAAGGTTTGTAAACCAGCTTCAAACTCTCTTCTTTGAACTTTGGTTTAATGTTGATTTAAAGCTGTTTTGTTTGTTATTTTGGGGGAAGACTTAACACTCCATCCTTATTTGCATATAATGACATCATGGGCTGGGTATGGGCCAGTTTGGATGATGGGGCAGCCCATATTGCTTAATTAATCCTTGAGAGGTCACAGTCTGTGCAGCCTGTCATTGTAAAAAGACAACTTCCAAGTGGGAGTTTCTGTGGTTTGTCATGTGTGAACACAGCTAGGCAGGGTTATTCAAGGATGAAACAGTAACCCATTGCCTATTAATACAACTCTTTGTGGCAGGCTGCACACAACTGCAGAAGCCACAACAACCCATTGAAAGATGGTGTGCATCATGACCCCTCAGGATTAATAATCCACAATGGGCTGTCATTTCATCTAAACCAGGTGTATAGATTATAGACAGGTTATCACTGAACCTTGGGTTGTAATTATATGCGAATCATGCACTGTGATATAACTAGATTGCTATTCTAACTCAACAACAAGTACCACAAGAACAACCCACAGCCCAATGACAACTTTTACTAGTCTGAGTTGTCAATACATGCAAACCTGGCCACTGAGGTGAAGACACATTACTTGTGTCTCAGCCTCAATATAGGTTCCAGTTCACACATCTGTTAGGGACTAGTGCAGCAGCAGCCCAGATGGATCAGCAGTTTGACTTGGAGAGATGGACTGGTCAGCTTGAAAGCTCCCAGTGTCACCTGTCTACCCCTAGCCCCTGTGATCTTCCTTAGGGGACTGCTTGGGAAAATCTGCATTGCACTAAATTCTTCCCTGTCATTCATGGGAGTGACGTGCAAACACAGTTCTGTACAGAGAATTCCAGAATATTCACTACTACTTAAAAAAGAAATCCATCAAAACTCTGTATTGCCCTTTTTATCAATATAATACATTTTTCTGATGTCAAGAATAGGTGTCCTTTATCATGGAACTATTTTGTTTTCTTCTTCTTCTTGAAGCATGTTGTCTGCTAACTACCTCTGATTTCAACCAAGCAGTTTCAAGCTGATTCTGTATGAATTTCAGACTCCTGGGCGTTTCATCAGTTAGACAGTCTGAAGTGTTCTAAATAAGGAGCAGAGCATTAGCTCAGGACAGTGCATACCATTCCTCCTTGGAGATGGTACCAAATACTTAAATGTACAGAGACTTCACTATATCACTCTGATTTAGAAGGACTGTAGCTCAGTGGTAGAACACACATTTTGCATTTAAAAGGTTCCAGGTTCCTTCCATCTCCAGGACAGAATCCTAATTGGAACTCTGGGTGTGTTCTTGGGGGTGCTATCAGCCAGCATACCCAATACCAAAGGTATTTATGGTATAAAGCAGCCCATATATACCTGAAAATTTTGGAGTTTTGACACTTTTTTTTTTTTGGCTATTTCCTTTGTTTTTGTAGCTACTGATTTTCACTGCTTTAATTATGGACTGTGGGTTTTTCACCCCAGTGCAGTTCTTGCATAATTTTTTCTTTCCTCTGCTCCCAGGTATTTGATAGAATGTTTTTGTTTTTTATCTGGACTTAATGGTTTTATTGCCAAACATTTTAAACCTGTTTTTAAGCTGCTTTTTAATGCTAGAGGTTTATATTAAGTTTACTGTAACTCACCTATAGGGCAGTAAAGAAATGTAATGAATGAATGGATAGACAGATATTTATTTATTTTTATTTATTTTATTTATAAAATTTGTATGCCATTCATTGCTTGCATCTCTGGACGGCTTACAACATAGGTCAAGATAAAATAGATAAATCAACAATTTCACTCTGGCTGCAAATCAATAAAATACCAACAATAAAAACCAGTTGCCATTAAAACATATTAAAATATTGATTAAATAAAAAGGTCTTGACCTGGTGCCGAAAAACATATAATGACAGCACCAGATGGACATCTCTGGGAAGCGCATTCCATAGGGCGCCACCACAGAGAAGGCCCTCCTCCAGGTATAAACAATATTTTAATTGTTTATTGTTCTTATGAACCTTTTTGGGAACAATTTAACCAACAGACAGCACATGGTGTATATAGGTAAATAAATGACCTATATACACCACTGTATATGGATCATCTGTAGCTTCAGGATACAACTGGATAACTTTTGAACTTACTAGAGCTTACTTTTGAGTAGACTTAGAATTGGCATATTACTCAAGATAAAAGGATTTCACATTTTAGTATTTTAATTTTAAATCCTTTTTTAACAAATAAAATTGCTAGAGAATATTTATTTGCTTTTTTCATTTCTATACTTTCCAAAAGCCAAAGCTCTCTATATCATGGAACAGTCTTACAATGCAAACTGAAGAGCAATGTACCTCGCACATGAACTGTCAGTCCTTGGATAGTATCACGTACTTCAAGCACAGTTAAGCAAGAAAAAAGAGAAAGAGAAAGAAAATTACTTTTTGAAGGTCTTCCAAGATACTCTTCATGAACAGCTATTATCTACAAGTGTCAGAAACTGCTTTTGTAGGAATGCAAGACATGCTGAAGATTATTGTGTGAGTTGGCAATCATTCTATATAGTATACGTTTCATTAGCAGGGACACAATACAGATGATGGCCAATCAAAAACTGCTTCACGTTGATTGGAGCTGACCTCATACTGTCTTTCTCCTTGATTACCAAGATTAAGGAGGCAAATTCAAAGTGCAGAGTTTGAAGAACATCCATGCAATAGCTATGTGATGTTTTGTACTTACAAGAAACATACAAATCAGGAGCACAAATCATTCATAGTCCCACTCATGTTAGAAAGGGAAAACAGGCAGAACAGCATTATTCTGTAAATTCCTAATCAGAGAAAGTCTGCACGAGAAAGTGGGCAAACAAAAAAGTGCTATGATCATATTATTATCCACATCGTACACAAAAAATTGTGCTAGTTCTGTGCATTTTGAAAAACATTTCAGGTACAATCCTATGTATGTTTAGATAGAAAAACCCTACAACTCCCAAGCTATCCGAGCCAAGAATGGGTGTTATAGGCCATTTATCCATCTAAACATGCACAGGGTTGTGCCCTTAGATTTTTTTTTAAATTAAGAGAATATTTTTGGTACACAAATACAAAATTGAACCAATAGGATAGTTACCTAAAGATTATGCACAGTACAAGTTGTGCAGATAAACCCAAAACTGCAAACTTGTATATTGTAAATATGTTCTCAATTTGCATTTGGGGGGGGGGGGGGTCTAAACTCAAGGATTTCATCCAGTCAATGCCAATTTTCTCAATATGAGAGTTAGGTGTATGTTTTAGCTTATTTTAGTGGAATGAATGAAAATCAAAAGCATTTTATGTTGGCTGGCTCACACCGGGAGTTTTACAGATTTTAGAATATTGGCTTTTGTCAGCAAATACACACAATTGCACTCCCAAGAATAAGAAGCTGGATAATTTCTTAAAGTGATGGGTAAGTGTTGGAACATAATTTAAGGTGCAAGGGAGGGACAGCTAGGCATGTAAGGCATGGAGGCTTTAGCACAGGAAAACAGAGTTTCCACAGATACTTTTTGTGTGCCTTACTTATTTCAAATATTCCATATCGGGTAGGATTTGCAGAATTCTATTTCAGCCTCCTGACAAATTCAGTGGGTGAAGATACACAAAAAGGGACCAGCTCTCAGCTACTGAAATCCTGACAACTAGCACATAATTTCTACATTTTTTGTTTTTCTTGTGCTTCATGTGCATGCACCAATGTTATCTCTATGTTGCAGACTGTCACAATACTCACCAGAAGATCCTGCAGCATTTGAGCATTTCAGGCCTATTTTCAACAACAAGAACAAAAAAGAAAATAAATATTAGATCACTTATGTTTTAATTCTCTCAAGCAAGGAGACAAAGAAGAAAAGGAAATGCTACAGAGCTATAAATGCTGAACAAAATATTCAACTCTTCCTGGTGTTGCAAGATTAAAACTAATTTTGACCAGTTTTTGTAAAAACTGTACAGTAGATCTGGCAATTTTTTGTCATAATGTGTTTTGAAATTCTTAAATCATGGTGTATGGCCTATGGGCTATTAAACCAAATAAACTTGAACTTGATAAATACTGAACTGTTATTGCACACATTGGAAGAACATCAGTGCGCAAACTGAAAGAACATAGTGTGGCTTGATTCCAAATACACATAAATAGGGTTGTGATGTTAGTGTGTAGTAACTGTTAACTGATCAAAGGTAGAGATTATCTTACCTGCCAGGCAGAAAAGGGAACCGATTGCAACAAAATGGCTGGTTAAAGACAGCAGCTTCATCTTCAAAGGAATATTAATTCACAAGGATTCTGTCTTCCCACAGTGACCTTCAGCTAATAGAAAATAGCTGGCCAAAGAAAAGAAAAGAAAAGAAAAGAAAAGAAAAGAAAAGAAAAGAAAAGAAATCACTTATTTTATTTCTGAGCAATGCATATTTCATTATTTAAATATGAGTTATAGAAATATTGTTAGAAATATTGTTGGACTGTTGGAAATACACAGTCCTGTCATATGTGAAAGCAATTAAGGCTTTAACTTCACTTCCCTCTGAGTGATTCTCATTAAGATCACCATTTTCCTGCTGATAACAGCAGTGGGGAAACAACAGTCTGGTTTGTAAGGATCACTGAAGAAGGTGGAGGGTTAAAAGTCTCTCTTCCCAGAAGTCTTGATCAGGGTGGATCCCTTTTTTTCAGATATGGGTAAAATCACTAGAATCTTTACCAGGATCACTGGCGGAACAGGACAATTTAAGTTTGCCCCACAGTTATCTAGATTGCCATTTCAGGGAACAAACAATAGTATATTCTCCAGGGCCCAATACCAGCACTAAGTTATTTATGTTACACCAACATAAGTTACTTCACATGGACCAGCAATAGCATTTTCTAGAGAAATGCTATCAGTGGGGAGCCATAGGAAGCTTATGCTAGCAAAATGTAATTTAGGTTGTCACTAATGCTGAATAGGTTAATGTCCATATGGTTGAAGAGAAACAGAAAATGGTTAACTTTAAGTGTCATCAGCTATCAACAAAACAAGATATGTAAATTTTTTCAGTCACTTCAGCAGCCAATAAAAATTTCAAGGTCAAGACACACACACCGAGACTGTAACACTGCCCAGTTCTCTGCTCTTCAGAAAGACCATCTTAGGTGATATCCTTCCCGTTCATTTTTTACCTACCCAATCAATACCATGCTATTAATTACTGAAAATGTTGAATTCTTCCACATCATAAACTTTACCTTACAGTAGTATAAATTGTTTTTACTTAAAGCATGCTTCAAAGTATTTGCTTAACAGTAACATGAAATTTGAAGATTTAAGCAACTGAAAGGGGTTCACCAAATTAAATTAAGGCAACAGTATAACAATGTGGATGACCAATGATAATTATGCATGAAGCACATAAAATATTATAAGCTAAATATTTTTCTGTAACATAAAGGAGATGGCTTAACAATAATCAATTGATATGTCATTAAACTATTCCTTTTTAATTAGGTCATTCTTTTGTTTTTAGTTAATCTGATTCTATTTTGAAAGACAATTCCATGAATTCACCAAGAACTAATTAGGAAGCAAAGGCAGTCAAACTCCCTGTCATAAATACTCATGAATGAGTGCCAAAGGTACTTAAAAGAAGGAAAGTTGTTCCCTTGGTTTATACTATTTCAAAAGAGCAAAAGCTAGGTGTACAGGAGATCTACCTTTGTTCAGTAGCTTCAGTACCTTTGAGAAGCAAAAGTAGCGAAGCTTTTGATATACTGTCACAAACGTCCTCAGAGTCTGCTATTAAATGAAAGGACACACCAACTCTTTTCTCTAGAAATGAAAGCTGTAACTGAGCAGAATATTTTATCCCAGATGCCCCAATAGCATTTCAGACTGACATACTTTCAAAAGACAAAAATTGGCTATGATGCATTTCTATATATTCATCCTACCTATCATTTTGTTAAGGATCTCAATATAATTTGCTCAGTAGTTCTGATTTTTTGTGGGAGTGGGGAGATACCTGCCATTACTGAACATTTTTCTGTCCTAAAACATCATCATTACCTAGATATAGTCTCATACAGAGCAAAATGAGGCTCTAGAAGGCTTTAGAAGAGGGGAGCTGCCACCATTTCATGCAGGCACCATGGCTTCTGCATGCCTTGGGAGATACTCCAGAGATACATAATTTTCAGTTACAAAGGGGGTAAAATGAACCCAAAATAGACAAAGACTGGATGTTGAGGATCTCTTACTTGAACTCCTAAAAATATGTAATATCCAAAGCAAGGCAGGGATAGAAGGTAGGAATCTCAAGCAAGATCAGCCCTGTTAGGTTTTCTGTAGTGCTGTATTCCAAATCTCAGTTGTATATACTTGGCCTGCCACCTTTACTAAATGGCTCCTGATATGACTGTGATGATTTGAATTATGCCAATGAACCTTGCTGTTGCTGAAATCATAAGAACACACAGCACCACTTCCTAGTAAAGGTTTGTCATAAAGCACTGTGTTCATATACTTATTCTTCGAACAGCCACTATACGATTCTGAAATGGATTTAATCAGTCAAACAGCACATTCTACTCCTTAAACACTTTATGCTAGCAAAAACATAGTTTACATGCTTTTGCTGAAGCATGTAATGATCCACTATGATTTATAGTCAAAATGTATCCCTGCTACATTCACTTATTATAGACATATTTGTCTCTTATAAAAATCAAATTCTCTAGAAACTCTAGAAACTAGACAAGACTATAGAGTCTAAACTGACTCCATCAGTGTCTTGCATTTATTTATTTGATTTATATCCTGCCTTTTTTAAAGAACTCAGAGAGGTTTACATCATTCTCCTGTTCCTACTTTCAATCTTATCCCCATAGGAACAACCCAGAGAGTCTGTGACTGGCCCAAAGTTGCCCATTTGGTTCCATGGCCAAGTGGGGACTAAAACCCAAATCACCTGAGTCCCTGTCCTGCACTCTTTATCACGACACCACACTGGTTCTCCTATTTCCTGTTTCCAGCAATGATCACCATGTAAGAAAGCACTTATTTTGTACAGTTCTGTTGATGAACTGGAAGGAGACTTCTAAGTGAAGAAAGGAAAGAGTGGGACAAAAATACGCAGTCATATCAAGTATGCATGAAACATAAACATAAACGAGCTATGGGCCCGATATCTCCATATCATGCATCTATAAGAATTACAGAATGTAGGTGATTCAATTTTATTTAGCACTTGTTGCAATCCTACAATATCCATTATTTTTAAGCACTTCCCATTTCCCCAACAAATGGTACATTTCTGGGATTCTGATAACTGGTTTTAACTTTCTTTAGAGAAGAGGAATCTGGAGATTT